ATATCACCAAGTTTTTCTAAAAAAAATGATTAAAAAAAACGATTAAAAAAAATGCAAAGGACTGCTTTTCTATTATCTTGAGTTTATTAAATTTGATTAAAATATTTCTTTTTATATTAATAGAGATATAAAGTTTATTAAGTTTTTTCAAAAAGGTATTAATTGTTACAAATAGTAAAGTATTGTTTAGAATAATCTGAATATTCTTTAATCTTTTTTGTCTTGTAAAGTCTTTGAGTAATATAACAAAATGAAAAAGCTTCTTTTTCTTTATATCGAAATAACCAATATCTTATCTCTAGCAAAGTTATAAATCTGTTTTCCAGGAAATATATTCTTTTTGTTATATCAATATATTTGTTTTTTTTTTCTTTAAAAAAACTTGGGATTGTGTATAGTTTAGTGGGCCTAAGGAATTCTATTATTCAGATTTTATATTTTAACAATTGATATATTATTTTGTTAAAATTATATTCATACTTTTATAAATTAAGCTTGGATTATAACAAGGTTTTCTTTAATAGTTATATAAGCGATATATTCTTTTTGAATATTTGTTTGTTCTATTTCGAGGTTTGCTTTAGCTTTGTATTATTGTACAATAGTATCCTTGAATACTGAAAACAAATGTCTGATATAGATTCTGATCGGCGATTCATTAGTTTTATTAGTAAATAGCTGAATTAATAGATTTGGGTTCAATATATTGAATCGATTCGAAAATATATTAACAATAAAAGAACTTTTATAGAAAATAGTATAGATGTAAGTCTTAAAACTACCGAATGTTTTAGTATCTGTAATAGTGGATATACTTGCATCAATAATATTTATTAGGGCAATTTATAAGATTTTTAGCATTATTTATTATAAAATGAAAACAAAGTTCAAAGTTCTCAAGTTTTGTAATATCAAAGTATTTGTAATATCAAGGTATTTATAATATCAATGTTTTTGTAAAATGAAGTTGTTCAAATTCACTTTTTATCAAGTGATTAATTGTATTATATAATAAACAATAACCCTGCAAGTTTTTTGTAAAATAAAAGAATCAAGGTTGGGCTAATCAGTAACAGAACCTTTTGAAAGATCGAATATATTATTATAGAACTGGTACAGGTTCTGGTGGATACTAGGTATAATGTATGATATTTGATAAGGAGAGAAGGAGGCGCGTGGAGTGATAACAACTATATGGTGGGTGGATGTCTAAGGCATCTATCCGAGCTAATTAGGAACGGGTAGTGGATATGTGATAGGTGTAGGTACATATAGGTAGGTGTAGGAATAGGTAGTGAACCCGTGACAACTACTCTTTCAAAGATCTACTAGAAAAGATCTAAACATCAAATTCATATTTAATTTAACGATATAATAATTATAAGAGAGAGTTGAACCCTAAACCAGTATCTGATAAGCTCATAGATTATAATAACCAAAAAAAAAAAAACATAATATAAAAACTTTATTTATAATAGAATATATTAGATAATTATAACTTATAATACTCGAGTATTTAGAATATAATAGAGTTAAGACAAAGTAGATAGAAGTAGAATAATATAAAGTTTGAAAATTAGAGTTTGAAAATTAGAAATTAGGAACTAGGAATCGAATAAAAATATTTATTATATAGTATCTATAAAACAATAAAACCTAAATTTATTAAAATTTTAAAGATTTAAGAATAAATAATTAAGCGAATAGAATGACTAAATAAAACAGTAGAAGAAAACCACTGAACAGAGTGCAAATTACTAACATCTAGTTACTTATAGATATTCTTGCACTCATCTTGCTGTTCCTCTTTGTTATAGAGAAACCTTTTGCTTGCCTACTTTACATCTGGAAAGCTAGTGCTCAACTCTAAAAACATGGAATCTTTGATAGCAGGCTCAGATACTATCTCAAATATAGATGCATCGTCCCAAATAAATTATCCACCCGATGCCAACTATATGACGCAAGATGAAATAGATACACACATATTCTTCATGCGTGAAGCTCTTGCCATGGTATTTGTTCTCCTTCTCAATTCGTCTGATTTTTGCCTTAACATATTTGCAGGCAAATCTCGCTCTCAACACCAACGAGACACCTGTTGGTTGTGTACTCGTAGATCCAGTCCTCAAGAAGGTCGTAGCTAGAGGAATGAATGCTACCAACAGGAGCTATAATGGGACAAGACATGCAGAGTTTATTGCCATTGATGAATTGCTGTCTTCGAGCTCCAAGATGGATTGTGGCGGAGCGAATGAAAATAAACATGGGAAAAGAAAGAGGGAGGGCGGTGATAATGAAGGTGACAACGATAAGGGAGATGCGATTGGAAGTACGAGGTGTGATTATGGACCGGAAGATTTGAAAAGTTTGGATTTATACGTGACGATAGAACCATGCATAATGTGTGCGTCATTGCTGCAACAATTTGGAATACGAAAAGTTTGGTATGGAGCAGTCAATGACAAATTTGGGGGAAACGGTGGAGTCTTGAATATTCATAGGGGGAACGGAATATTCGATAGCAATGATGCCGCCGAGGACGGAGAGGAAGACAACAAAAAGGAGAAAGGCGACGAGGAATGGCCTGAAAAACAGGAGGGCGATTACGAGGTTAGTGGCGGGTGGTTGCGGGAAGAAGCAATTGTTATCTTGAGGAGATTCTATGTGCAAGAGAATGGTCGAGGTGAGTGATAGTTGTTTTATTTCTTTGTAACACAAAAGCTAATATTCTACAGCCCCCGAGCCTAGAAACAAGAAAGAGAGGATATTGAAACTAGATGTGGAACCAATGATAGATCCGGGAGCAAAAGGTGATGAGTCCGGTTGAAATTTAGATATTCTAGTCTTTTGAGTGGTTTCGAAAAAATCGGAGGTAGACAACACGATATATGGATTAGGTTGAATAGACAATCAAGAGAATACCCCGGACACGATATTAAGAGCCGACATTTTGTACGCTTCGCAAAGATCTCAATATATCTAAGACATCGCAGATACTACTCACAAGGTCGCCCGACTCATATTGTAACTAAAAATTCAAACGCATAATTCCACTTTCCTATTTGCAATTGATTTGTTCGCTTTCTTTGATTGATCTCAAGGGTTATTTCCCCACGTCGCACCTTTATCACACATCGTACTTCTAGTTCGTCAAACCCTTTCCTGTCCTTTCAGCCTCCAACTCCCTCTCTGCTTGTTGGTAATACTTGGCGGTATCCACTCCATGTTGGTTATGATTTACCAAATTGAACCAAGGCATCACATGCAAGAAAACTCCTGCATATCTTGAGTTTCTCGATGCGACTCCCTGCATATATGGTGTAGCTGCGCTTTCACCATATAAAGACTCTCCTTTCCTGACTTTGCTAACCATTTCTTTCATATCCCGGTCTTGCTCGCGCTTATTTTCTGTGAAGCCGTAGAACCGCACTGTTATGATAATCAGCACATGTTAGAAAAGCTCCGAAGTTCAATTAAAGGCGCGGGATGGAGCAGGGAGGGAGAATTGATCTAAACACATACGTATAGAACGTTGGTAAAACATGAAGAACCCAGCTCCAGCACCAATAACCCCCGATAATCGCATAATCGGAGCAAATCCTCCCTTTCCAACAAGTGAAGGTGCAACTTGTTCCCACAATAACATCAAGCCCGGTCCAGCGGTAGCTGTCACTGCTCCGACCGCATAGTCCGATGGTCGTGCATAGCTGAGTACTCGTTTGATATGTCTGTATAATGTTTATCAGTCTTTTGCCCCCTCTTTGCTGTACTTTGGGCGGGGTGTAGGAACGTACGGGTCACTGTCGATAAGCTGAGGAGAGATTGATTAGCTGATAGGTTTCTTGCGCGATATACTGGTAACGAGGTAGATGAAAACTCACAGGGTAGTCGGTATTGATTCTTTTCGAAGGCACAAATGGCCTTTGCTCAGTGTTCGACATTTTGTATTGTGCCAATTGCTTACAATTGGGTTTCAGCGCACTTGTGAGGTCAATTTCTTGATAGAGGTTCGATACGGAAACGCTAACTCGGAATTCGCACGGGCCATGAGGAAGTATTCTTGCCTGATTTAAAGTGATTTTTGCCTTGTGCTCCGTCGCGTCTTCCCTTATCGAGGACGCGTCTTGAGGTACGCCGCGATTTTGGAAATTCCATGGAAATTCGAGTTACAGTTGGATTTTGAAAAGAATCAAATTTACTGCCCTGCCCGTTCATAATTCATCTATCCACAAAATGGACTCTCCGCCATCAAGAGCGCTTCCCACCGAAACCCCCAATGCTGGTGGAAATGAATTCGATGATCTCGATGATCTTTTCGATTACGATGCGGGCGATACAAATGATCCTTTCAGCGAAAACTACGTGGTTCCTGAAAGTAAGAATCAGGAAACTGCCAAGGGCTCCGCAAGCAATGCGAAAAGTGGTGCAGGACTGGGTATTGATGAGGAAGTCGAGGTCACCAAAAAGCCTAGAGTTCCACGAGTGAAACTTGATGAACACAAGTATGTTCAACTGTTTGATAGTTGGATCTGGAGATACTAATATGGATCTCAAGACTTCTCTCGTCTGCAGGAATACCAAAATTACGGAAAAAGGCTGCAGGTCATCTGAAGTTCAAGGGTAAAGGCCATGAGGTATATAGAGCACAAAATTCTAAGCTGCTCGGCTTCATACTCACATGATGATAGTATTCAGATGCGGCCCGACTCCTTGCGTTTTATCAACTCTGGCTCGATGATCTCTTTCCAAAAGCCAAATTTCGCGACGCTTTAGCCATGGTCGAGAAGCTAGGTCATAAAAGGATGATACAGTCTGCGAGAATGGACTGGATTGATGAGGGGAAACCTAAATCATCGGTGCACGAAGATTCCCTATTTGACGAGCCGGAACTTCCTCCACGGAATGATAATGGACGAGAGAAATCGGCATCGAGAATCGCACCAATCTTTGAAAATACAGCAAGTGAACGACCGAAAACACCTGTTCCAAATCGAGATCTGGATTTCGATGATATGTATGATGCCACTCCGAAGGTTGTGCGCCAAACCCCAGCTACGCAATCAACTTCGGTGTTTGGTGGTGGTAATAATAGTCTATTTGGTCCTCCGAAGGTTGCCATAGCAGGAGATGATGGGCCTCCAGACGATGATCTGGACGCATTACTGGCAGAGGCGGAACAGGAAGGTGACAGCGATGAAGTGCTAGATGATGATCTCGCAGCGTTGCTGGCAGCAGAGAACGATACAAACGCCCCTCTTCAAAGTACAAAACAAACTTTAGATAAATCTGCACAAGCGGAAGCCGATGATATGGAGGCTATGGAAGCTATGGCTGATATGGACATGGATATGAACGGGGGATGGTAAATCAATTCTGGCTGGCGTTCGGATGCATTATGGCGACATGTGAGGCGTCAGGGTTAATATAATGATATGGGCATCTTGTATAGAGCCCTTTACCACCGAAATGAAACTTTCATGACCCTAATAAATATTACAATACAATGATATAGATCAATTAGCTGAGAGAGTCATTTTTTGAGTATTCGCAGGCTTTCCAATAGTCCGCACCGCAACCCAACAACAAAAGACTCTTGATTCTTGAATCTTAAGTCTTCATACATTGAAACATGTTCTTGAATTTTGATCTTGATATTGATCTTGATTAAAGCATTGAATTCATTTGATGTTTTAAATCCACATTCAGAACAATAAATCCGTTTGGGATATTCGCGGGTCTGACGTCGTGCTTTCCAATCCCAGAACCCCCACCAGACTTTTGTACAGTACCTGCAAATCCAGAGCTACCCACACAACATTACCATCTTCCACAGTTTTGCGGAAGGTTTTTAAGTTCCCATGGCAGACGGTCTGGTTTCAGCTCTGGAGAATCTCCATCTCAAATCGCAGAGTTTAGAAAAACTCGACAACGACTGGATTGATAGCATTCTTGATGAGCAACGTCCACCCAAACGCATCAAGCAAAACCACGAAGACCTCAAACGGGAGCTGGAACAGAAGTATTTGACGCCATCAACCACATTTTCTACAGAATGGCTCAATAGGCTTCAACAGTAAGTTCCACTTTTGCTTTAATTATCGTACAATACTAATACCAACTCTTATTCAGGCGCTGGGACTCACCACCAAATTATACAGACCTTTTTCAGCTCGCCCCAACTCAAACACGCACAATTACAAGATTTACGCGAGAAGGCTTGGAAGGCCGAGTTACAGGTTATAAGGAAGTTACGGTACCGGCGAACAGTGCAACGGCCAAAAACTCTACATCTTTTCTGAGGAAACCGGCAAATAGGGCTGATTTTGTGAGAGGTGCAGCCGGGTTCTTTCCATTCGCACCCGGTGGATTGGATGCTGTGGAGGCTGCGGCTGCTCTGGAGGCACAAGTTGGAAGAGTCGATAGCATAGTGCCGGCAAATAAGGGCTTGGAAAGAATCATAAACTTCGGTGGAGAGGATGGGCTGCTGAGCACACCACCAGGATTTACCAGAGGTTTGAAATTTGAGAAAAAGGGAGAAGGTGAGGAGAAAGAGGCAGAGGATGTGAAGAACGTCTTAGATGAAGAGCCAGCCGAGGAATTGTCTGCAAATGGAGCAGGCGATGCCTTGAAGGATGGAGCTGCTGCTGAAAGCTCCGATGACGACGAAGAGGACGATATTGATTCTATGTTGCCGGTCGAATTCCCAGCGCTGGAGCCTCATGGTGCACTTGCAGCTTCTAGTACGAAAAGAGCAGGGAGAGAATGGGCACATATGGTGGATGTCAAGAGAGATATTCCAAATTTCCGAGAATTGGTTCCTGATATGGCGAGAGATTGGCCATTCGAGTTGGATACGTTCCAAAAGGAAGCGGTCTACCATCTAGAAAGTGGAGACTCGGTGTTTGTTGCTGCACATACTTCGGCGGGAAAGACAGTGGTAGCAGAATATGCCATTGCTCTTGCTGTCAAACATATGACAAAGGCAATATATACGTCTCCAATTAAGGCATTGAGTAACCAGAAATTCCGTGACTTTCGACAAATTTTCGATGAGGTTGGCATTCTTACGGGAGATGTACAGATCAATCCCGAGGCGAGCTGTCTTATTATGACCACCGAGATCTTGAGGAGTATGCTTTACAGGGGGGCTGATCTAATTCGAGACGTGGAGTTTGTTATATTTGATGAAGTACATTACGTCAATGATTTAGAGAGAGGAGTTGTCTGGGAAGAAGTCATTATTATGTTACCAGAACATGTGACATTGATTTTGTTATCTGCAACCGTTCCTAATACCTACGAATTTGCGTCTTGGGTTGGAAGAACTAAAAAAAAGGATATCTATGTTATCTCGACTCCGAAGAGACCGGTGCCGCTGGAACATTACCTTTGGGCCGATAAAGGCATTCACAAGATCGTGGATGCAGACAAAAAATTCATTGAAAATGGTTGGAAGTCTGCAAATGATGTACTATCTGGAAGAGATAAGATAAAGGCTCTCCCTGCACCGGAAACCTCCAATACTCGTGGAGGAGGAAACCAAAGAGGCAGAAGCCAGAATGGACGTGGTGGCACACAACGAGGCGGCGGTCAACAACGCGGAGGGGTACAACAGCGAGGTGGTCGCGGTGGTGGTGGACCTCCTCGTGCTAGCCATAATCCAGGACACATGGGACGCGGCGGTAGACCTGGAGGCCGAACAACGGCTGCTCAAGACAAAACGTTATGGGTACATTTAGTTCAATTTCTCAAGAAGGAAACTTTACTTCCAGCATGCATTTTCGTCTTTTCCAAGAAGAGGTGCGAGGAGAATGCGGATGCTTTGAGCAACCAAGACTTCTGTACGGCTACTGAAAAGAGTGCCATACACATGACTATTGAGAAGTCTATTGCTAGACTCAAACCAGAAGATCGACTTTTACCACAGATCGTTCGATTGCGAGACTTACTTGGACGGGGCATTGCTGTTCACCATGGTGGTCTTCTGCCAATTGTGAAGGAAGTCGTGGAGATGCTATTCGCACAAACCTTGGTGAAAGTGCTTTTCGCCACAGAAACATTTGCTATGGGATTGAATTTGCCGACTCGAACTGTCGTCTTTTCTGGATACCGTAAGCACGATGGACAATCCTTTCGAAATCTGTTACCTGGAGAGTATACTCAGATGGCTGGCAGAGCAGGTCGTCGTGGTTTAGATCCTGTAGGTTCTGTCATTATTGTGGCTCCAGGAGGTGGTGAAGCTCCACCTGTCACTGAACTTCGTCAAATGATACTCGGTGAACCCTCAAAACTTCGCTCACAATTTCGATTGACGTATAACATGATACTCAATCTCTTGCGAGTTGAAGCTTTGAAGATCGAAGAGATGATTAAGAGAAGTTTCAGTGAACATGCTACCCAACAACTACTACCGGAGCACGAAAAAGCGGTCAAGGTATCCGAGGCAGACCTGGCTAAAATCAAGAGAGAGCCTTGTGATATGTGTGAACAAGATCTAGACGCTTGCCATGACGCGATTCAAGCCCACAAGCAACTCACTCTCGATCTTCATCTGGGGTCACTGGCAACTCCTATCGGTCGCAGGATGTTCGCTCGAGGTCGCTTGGTAGTCTACCATAAAGATGGTGTTCGCACACCTGGTATTCTGCTTCGTGAAGGAGCTACAGATGTGAATGGCCTATCTATTCATGTTCTAGAAATCAGAACACGACGAGATCAATGGGACACAACTGATTTATTACCGTTCATACCGAAGTTCAGAGGGATGTTCACCAAGCTTCCACAATTCAAGAAACACATTAGTACCAAGACTTGTTATGTTTTGATTAATGATTTGGAGTGTGTCACGAATACCATTGTGAAGGGAGTCATTCCTGATATATTTCAAAGCGGTGAAGTTTATGAGAACGCTAAACAGACACTTTACGATTTGTGTTCATCATCGTGGGAGAGCGATGCGTGGAATGAATTAGACTGGTCTAAAATTAAAGAACTCCAATTGAGAGAGAATCTTGTCAAGCGGATACAAGAGGCTACAATTGCCCAAAAATCCAATTGCTTGGAATGTCCCTCATTCTTGAAACATGTAAGAGTCCCTTCCATTATTTAGTCACATGGTCACGACGTATGCTAACAGACTCTTCCCAGTTCGCAATGTGTCACGATCAATGGCTAATTCAAACCAATATCATTCAACTTCGTCAACTAATGTCCGATACCAACCTTCAGCTTTTGCCCGACTACGAACAACGAATCCAAGTTCTCAAAGACCTAGACTTCATCGACGACTATTCCCGTGTCCAACTTAAGGGGAAAGTTGCCTGCGAAATACACTCCGCAGATGAATTAATTCTTACAGAACTCATCCTCGATAACGTCCTCTCAACGCACACCCCCGAAGAAATTGTCGCTCTCCTCAGCGCCTTCGTTTTCCAAGAAAAAACTACTACCGTCCCAACTCTCCCTAGTTCATTAGAATCTGGCAAGATCAAGATTCTCGAACTTTCGAAGAAAATCACGGAAATGCAACTGCTGCACCAAGTCATTCAACCGTCATCCGAATCCAATGATTTTGAAGCCCATCCTTCGCGCTTTGGACTCATGGAAGTCGTGTATGAATGGGCACGAGGAATGAGTTTCAAAAATATTACGGAGTTGACAGATGTACTCGAGGGGACTATCGTGAGGGTCATCACGAGATTAGATGAGACATGTAGAGAGGTGAGGAATGCAGCGAGAATTATTGGTGATCCGGAGTTATTTCAGAAAATGCAAACTTGTCAGGAGATTATTAAGAGGGATATCACTGCCGTGGCAAGTTTGTACATGTAGATGTGTATTGTTTCATGGGTAAGGGTGATCAGGTGGTTTGAGAGGGGAAATACCAATAAGCAATGAGCATTCCCTATATATTAGTACTTACATAAAATAGAGTACGAAGTAATAAAGAAACGAATATTGATGATATGCCAGCCGCATGACCTCTCACTAGATTACAATCTTCACGGTATAGAGTCTAGATGAAACTGGGACTGGCTGGAAGGAATCACATGCATCAAAAGGGGTCTTGCTGTAGAAGTAGAGCTCGGCTCATCAGGATTTGCTTGACTTCATGTTTCCCCCTTTTCTTTCCTACTTTTTTCTTTCGTGTTGCAATCATAACTCTAGAATCTTTCTTTTTGTTTCAGGATTTTAGTGTTTTTTTTTTTTTAGATAAACAATACAGTTTTGGGCTAATTTTGTAATTTTTTTCCTGTATTTTTTGAGGGGTTTGATTCATTTGTGGATCGCAACTACAAGCATCACAATCAGTTAGTCCTTCCTAATAAGGTTGTAACAGATTGCACACCAAATGAAAGTTATTCCTTCCTACTTGTAATAAGAGAGCATCAGTGAACCTTTTTCGTGAAAAGATTTAGGCTGGGCTATGGGTAAAAGCTTCGGGTCATTGTTTGAGAGTATGGCCGAAGAAATGGTTTGCGCTTGACGTTTGTTTCTGGGAATTATTAAGTTGCTTTGATTGAGATTGGTGATTTAGTGGGATTATGTGTTGGGGATACTAAGCCGCTTATTTGACCTACGATTCTTTGTACATTTGAAAATACAAAGTGGAGTGTCAAGTCTAGAAGTGATGAAATATAATAGACTGTCTTGATACATTCAAAGTAGCAGTAGCCGTTCCATTACTTGACTTTGGCCCTTATCTCGTTCTCGAAATCTGGTGTTTTGGTCCCAATGCTATAGTTTTGTTGTATTCGCCGCAATCTCACCCTCACTCCTTTCTTATATAATTCAATCAACACTGTTCTGGTCTAATTTCCTTGGCGCGAAGTTGGACAAGTTGATTATTACTATCGTTGGAGTTGGGGCTTGAAATTCTTTTATGGTCAATGGTGTGATGATGACCTTATATCTTTTGTGTATGTTTCTATCAAGGTTATGTGCTTTTCTGGTTCTAAATCTATAATTGAGTTATGATGCTCATCGTCGAGGGTGTTGTCCAGAATGATCATAGACGTGTGATGATTGTGCTCTTCTTCCAAATCTGCATGTGGTTGGTTTGTTATTTCTGTGGATACCCATCGACCTGTTGATTTAATGGATCGTTATCTCATAATCAATGTTAATGGTTTATATTGATTTCTACTAAGGAAGATAAATTACCAGTGACAGTCGTGATAGAGGAGATTGAGATTTTTAGAATCTCACTGGATGATGATCCACGCGCAAAATACCAAGTGGTAACTGTGATTAAGGTCTCGGGCTGCCCAACACTGACTTTGAAGAATGTGTATCGGACCGACCAAAGACCAAAAATGGACCGGATGGATATCCCATCTTTTTTGATACTATGATAGCGAATTTTCATTCGGTGATTGTTAATATTCATGTCTTTGATATGGTAGGTACAAAATACATTGGTGTACTCGCTTATATAAAGGGGTAGATTAGAGCTATTTCTAGTCTCCAGCTAGTAGCAGCATATTTAAAAGAGCTTAAGGCTTCGTAATTCCCTTTATCAAATCATCTAAGTCAGCTTATCAGCTTTCTTCTCCTTGATCAGAAATCTACAAATTAGGGAGTAATTCTGGATGTGATCTTTTACAGGTAAAATTGAAGATCAATTATCACATTTAGAGTCAATCGTCAAATAATCCCCAGAAGATTTGTGCAGTACTTTTCCGATGGGAAGGTATTCTTGTCAATTGTATCATTTCGGGATCAAATCACCTACCTCCACACAAAAATTGGTATCTCTGACTGCAAACCGTGACACCAAAAGTCGTACACAATAAAACCAGCAGAACAGCAGGTTCCGAATGTTTTCAGAGACGTAAAACAATGAAAGCATATGGGAAATAACTACCAATAGATAGAAGGCGGATGGGGGCGGAATTGATGCGACGATCATCATTACAATTATCTGGCAGCGTGTTTCTCCTAAGAACTGTGGGTGAGAATGAATGTTAGCTTTTGTTACATTTTTGATTTGGTTTAATTTCTGTTTAAAACTTAGATTCTGTCACAAGAGCCGTTGAGCACAAAGGGCGCGGGATTGTCAAATTTGATAACTAGGAGCTAAATGCAGTTTTCAAACCCAACTAGAATCCGTCATGCAGCATCCGGAAAGTTCAAGTCCCCTTTTTGGTCCATTTTATCCGCTCGTTAATTTCGTTAATTGGACTATCATCCCATTAGTAGAATAAGTAATGAAGATAACTTTTATTGGTAATGTTGTGGAAGCACAAAATTAGGAAGCTGTAGTACAAACAGCAACAACGATATGAATAGTTACAGCAAAGTGGTGGTACATACTTTGTTATAGTTGAGGAGGGACGGGAGGCTGAGTGATATACATTTGGTTTAAAGTTAACCCTAGCCAGCTAGACTAATTCTTGTCTGTTACCAATTTAATACATGAGCCGTTATTCGAGCTGTAGTTCACCAAAGTTGCGCGGAAATAATCATCTCAAATTCCATATCTGAGCATTGTAGGCTTTTTCCCCCGAGTAGATTGAGTTCAAGAATTGTACTACAGGTGCTAGGAAGCCTCGATGAACTTTAAATAGTTCGACAACAGCCTTCTGATGATTGGGTTATCTTGACCCTATCGATTATCTCTCTGTAGATAGTATATTCCTAGAGCTTTTCCATGCAACGTGAAGTTGCCCGTGATCTCGAGGTATTCCAGAACATGGGTTGTGCAATCTCATACTATTGGAAATTTAAGATTTCTGATTTCATACAATAGCCAAACATCAGATTAGGGTTAGAAATATGGGAAAAGAGTTTAATTGACATTTTCCTTTTTACATTTGGACTTATGTTACTCTGAAAGGTTATTCATATATCCACCCTCAATATTTGGTACCTAAATCCGTCGGAATCTACATCTAATGAGACAGGACGGAGTAAACCCATCAGATTTAATTCTTAGTCTTCAATCTAGCCCCAAAATACCTCTGACTTCAAGTAACCTACAAGCAATGAATGATACGCTACTAATAGAAGCCCAAAACACTTCGCAAGCTGTTCTCTATATCACAACTTCCAATTAGTTGTTTCCTGGACGTTGATGAGAAAATAGGTAAGTCGGTGTACCAATCCTCATATGAATGATGAACTATCTTTGCCTGCTCGAGAGAATCGACAATATATTCCCTCGAGTGCATGGCGCACAACACTTTTCCTGGCGGTCAATCCCTACCATGACTTGAGATTCTTCAATCTATCCTTTATAGATCTAATCTAATACATGATTGAATTACTAATAACTACATTCATACTCGTAAAGCTATCTAGGAACAAAAACAATTCATTCCAACCAGAACAAATTCTAGGTTTGATCAACTTTTGACCACATTCTAATGTCCATTGAACCAACCCCCCGAGAAGTTATCCGAATCCCTTTCCTTACATCTATTTCAGAATTACTCGAGTTAAGATGATTAATATGAGGGCAACGATCACTGATGACAGCTATACTACTTTTACCACTGTGAATTTCAGGATTCCGTTCTAGTTCTAGCTACCCAATGGGTGGGTGCAGATTTCTCTTCTTTCAAATCAATGATGCGGTATTCGAAAGAAATTATTGATAATTTATATCTATCTGTACTATTTATTACTCGAGTAGATTATCTACCCTTACCATGAATCTGGTCCATGATTTAAATTAATGGGACATTTTGATTAAGTTATGGAGTGTTTCTTCCGAATAGGTCTCGGATTAGTTGATGGCTTTGAGTCCGTCCCCAATTTCCCCTATACCTCTCAACTCCTACCCATCTCCATCTCCATCATTCTTTTTACTTTACATACCCTACTTTACATACCCTACCCTACCCACCTCCCCTCACCTCAGCTCACCTCACCTCACCTCACCCCACCAATCGCAAAGAAAAATCCCAATCCCAATCCCAATCCCAATTCTAACCTCTGAGTCTAGTCGAGTCACCGGGAGCTAGTAAAGCACCTTCAACCTAATTATCATAACCTGCTGTATAAAATTCCCATATATATTCATATCCACCCCCTCTATCCCCCTTCTTTCCCTCCTTCTCCCCTCCCCCAAAAGTCTCACCAAATCCCCCTTCAATTTCCCAACCTTTCATATCAACATTTCATGTAAACCCGAGCTCACCGAATCTAAAACAACATATCCCATCCCGTCCTACACATAAAACCACCACAACCCACAACCACAACCCACTCATCATCAAATACCCATCAAACACCCATCACAAACATCACCATAAACCCCATCATAAATATAACCAAAAACATCCCATCCTCATATCTTCCCCGCTAAATATCTAACCTTAATTCTTATCTTCTTTTCCCCCAATTTCCCCCCTGGTTTTCCCACCGAGTCCCCTACCTATCTCATCTTCATTTCCTCCAAATTCTGATTTTCTCCCGAGTCAAACGAATGAGGTGGGGTGTTAGTGTTCCTTTTATCTATCCTAGTTGAGTTGTGGTGTTCTTCCTTGTGGTATTATTGTACCTTCATCTAATCGTAAAGTCATAAACCTCTGAAAACAATATCGCAATAGAGTAATGTGTCTAGAAAGTAGACAAGAGGAAGCAAGACCGGCTACCAAGACCTTATGAATTAAGGGCTCATTTTGAAGTCAAAAGTATGGCCAAAAGCAAGAAATATCACCAAGTACGCCGCACAAAGTTTGAAGCATCAAATGATTTCATTTCTGGCAAGATAAAAGCTATTTACATGTCCGCCCTTCCATCTATAAGTATGTACCCTAATTTCCCATAATTTCCCCATTGTATATTCTCAGAGCTCGTAAAATATATCCCATAAATATTGGAATGTAAGAGCCCTGCAGATAAATATGTTTGCACGTAAGTAGTGTATCCTAGTAATCCATATTTCATGAATCATAACGTCGTAAATGCAATGATATATGAATAGCAAAGAAAGCAAGCAAAGGCAATCTATGCATTAGTCATTCCGGCTTCCAGCAAAGTTCGGAACTTTTGCTTCTGCACAGGAGTGAGAATATTCTTGGTGGCCTTGGCTGTATTGTATAATTCTTTGAAAGCCTTAGCATGGAGTTGACCGGCGGTTGGTTTGACAAATTTGGGGGCGACATCACCATGATAGGCATATTTGTCTTCGAAGTCGTCAGGAAGCTGGGAGTTGGCAAAGGCAATTCTTCTAGCTGCTGGAGTGAGTCTGCCTGGATCGATGTACCGAGAAGTCATGGCAAATCGAACACTTCCTTGAGGCGTGACGGCATGCTAAAAATGTATGTTAGACAAATTCAAGAATGTTTGATAGAAGTGCAGGTTTACCTCGTAATCCTCTTGGATCTTACAACCATGCATGACAACGATGTCACCATGTTCAAGATTCATGACTAGAACATCAGACTTGTGTCTCTTTCCCTCACCCTTCATGACACCACCAACTGGGCTCTTGGCCTTTGGACGGATCTTCATGATGGCATTGCATCCTAAAGACCAAGTCCCAATGGTAGGACCAAGAGTGTCCTCTCCATCATCGTGATACTATCAGAAGTCAGTTAATCGAGCAACAAAGTGTAAAGAGCAATTTCTTACATCGATCTTCATCTTTTCAAAGTAAGATAAAGTCAAGATTTCGTTGAATTCGTGGAATTCTTCAAACTCAGCACCAACAGACTCTTGTCCAGCCCAGGTAAGACGTCCTAGGGCCTTCAGAATGACTGGATCCGCATCTTTGAAGCTATGAGCTGCTTGTGCCACCTTGTACTTGTATGGAGCACCCTGGTCTTATGTTAGAATATCTGAATGTTATGTGCAGATGTGGGTGAACTCACAGTGTCGACCGAGAAGTGGTTAGTCAGAATCTCACCAGGAACTGCAAAATGTTAGCTAGATTCAAAATATTGGCAAAGGAGAAGAAACTTACGACCCGCATGCATGTTCGCATTTCGTTTGAGACCGATATCAATCTCTTGGAGTCTCATGAAGACTTCATTTGCACCATCTTTCTTGGAATTGATGACAGAATTCGCCTTGAAATGACGAATGAAGCCAATGATGTTGCCATTAGCATCCGGAATCAGGTATGTATAGACGGTATAAAGTCCCAGAGTTGGTTTGGTGACAGCGATGGATGGGGCGCGGAATTCTTTGACTTTGACACCACGTTCCGTATCCCTTCGGAGAACTTCTTCGATGTGAATTGGACGTGAGGTGAGTTGACAAGTAAAATCACAGTTGGAATTTTCGCAAGTCCATTGCAGCCACTCACGACGTCTGCTGCAGCATCTGCATTTGGGGCAAACAAGACCTTTCTTACATTCCGGTTCAATGCCATAAGCATTGTTGGCAATCAGATCTTCATCGGTCATCATCTGTGGAACCAAAGATGGTGGAGGGAGACCGGTGAAAGGAGTTCGCTCATCCAGAAATGCCTGGCAATAGCCCAGAGAAGCCTCATCGTAACCATTGGCTGAAAAGGTGAAGTATTCGGGGCAGCCGATATGCATACAAGTCCAACCTTGGTTGTAGATCTCCTTACTTGACTTGTTACAAGCACCACAGATCTGACTGTTGACTGGAACAATCGGGAGATCGCTTGCATCTCCTGACAAAGATGATGTGGGAGTCCACCAAGACACTGAAGTAAGATCGATCATCTCAAGTCGAACCATCCAGACCATGAAGCCATTGATTTTGGTGCAAAAAACATCGGTTACATGGGCCCAATCCAAGACACTGTATCGCTTGTAAAGCTTGCATGGACTGATGGAATTCTGAAAGCCTACAAAAATACTGCGTCAATGGCAATAATTTGGAAATGAGGAGGGTGTTACATACCGGCAATTAAAGCAACAGCCGTCTTTTGTTCCATAGTCTTGATGAAGGCTCTAACGGTGCTGCTGGCGATTTGGTCTTTCTGGTTGACACGATTGCCATCGGCATCTTCGGTCTTGCCACCACCACTGATACAATGTTAGCACAAGCTTACAAACTTCATGGAACTGCAAGGTACTCACACTCGGGAGATGTAGACCTTGCTGGAGAAGACATCATGGGGACCAACTTCCTTATCCATCATAAATCCATGAATGAGGCCGTCATGTTGGTAAGCACCAGACTGGTAAGCTCGGTAGTATGGCAAAGTCTCACAAAGACCTTGTCGGGTTGGTGACCATATGAGAGGCTCACCGGAGGGCTCAGGCTTGTCCAGAGTGTAGTTTTGGGTGCTCTTTGGGCCTGTGGATGCCTTTGGCTTGGCAGCTGCTCTGGGTTTGCGCTGAGCCATTGCCTTTGGTGCTAGCGTGATTCGTTTAGAAGGAGGTTGTGATGGTTCCTGGGTGATCTCCGGGAAAAAGTCATCATTCTCATCGCTGGGAGCTGCCTTGCGCTTTCTAGTGGGTGCCGAAAACTGGTCTTCCTCAAGATCAGAAGAATTCAAGAAAAAGCTATCCAAGCTGGTTTGCTTAGTCTGTTTGACTGTGGTTCGAGTACTTCGACGTGGAGGTGGGATTGGAGATAAGATGTCAGGGGAGGATATTCGGCTGTCATCCGACCAAGTGCCATCGGAATTCTGCATGGAAAAGCCTTGGTTCTCAAAGAAACCCAGACTCTTCAAAATTCAAGAGTTAGTATAAACTACTGCATCATGACAGGGAATAATATGCTCATGACGTAAGATGGAGGATTCAAGTCAAGTGATTGTGCTTCAGCTCCTCAACAAGGAAAGAGCCATTTACAAAGAGAAAAGTGATAAAATGTGATATGCAGGATAGCTACAAAAAGGGGAACAATGATCTCCGACACAAAAAGTCAAGAAAAAAATCATTTTTGAAAAAGGAAAAAGAGTGAGTAGGAAGTGTGCTTAGATCGGGACATGGGGAGAGTTTTAGGAAAGTTTGTTCCTCTGGCTTACCTCATTGATAGGGGATACAGATGACGTTGAAGTCATCGAGTCTGAGGTTGATGGAAACTGGCTGTCAGAGATCGAACTCTCGGACATACTGATACTGTCACGCTGCTGGTAACGCTTGAGAGAAATCATTGTGCTGCTCTTTACACAAGAAGTCTAGGAGGTGGTTTGTTAAAGTATTGATAAATATTGTAAAGAGACAAAGGTATCTCAAGCAATACCTTGAAGAAAATAAATCAAGATAAGTAAAAACGAAGGTTAACTGAATTGAAGATAAAAAAGAGTTGTAGAAAGAAAGAAGGAAACAAGTCCAGAGCTCCGAAGTTGAACTCTTAAGTAGGATCCTGAAGCTCTCTCGGATGGCGCTAGTGGTATCGTTCCTTCCCAAAATATTCACCCTCCCATCTTTTCCCCCTCCTTCCTCGACTGATCATAGGACTGATTATAGGACCTCGCTCGGAGGAATAGGGTGGATTGACAATTTGATTAGCTCAACAAAAAAGTTTAATGGGATCATTTACTACTCGTCGGAGGTCATCTACTATTTGTGCATAAAGAGAAGTGGTGTAGATGATAGGTGAATTATGATTTCCCCTCTCACACGCCTCACACTTCCAACTTCGATCGAAAGTTTTTCAAAATAAGGTATCTTTCCCTCTCAATTGGGGAACAAGGAGTGGGGAAACTATCGAATGATACAGGTGAATTTATAGAGTTTATAATTGACTTGGAGATTGGAAAGTACGAGATCAGGTTATAGTATTGAAGATTAAAAGGTGAAGATACTAGTATAATAATGTTAATATAAAAGGGATTAATGAAGTAAGTATCATTGATCTCACCCCTTTGAAGGGGTTTGACGGTACGACTCCGAGGGGACTGCTTGTTCAAAATGACTTTAGAAGTTGTGATACATTTAGTTGTTGGAAGTAATAGGGGGAACCGAAGGTGAAGGTGAAGGTGAAGATAAAGGTAAAGATAAAGGTAAAGCTTTCCTTTACTCTATTCCGATCTTTGTACAATTATTCCTTACAATTGACCCAAACTATCTTCTGGCTACCATGATAACTGAATGGAATATATATCTAGTATCATCACCAAGACTATATATATATATTGAATCAGACTCTCAATTAGAACTCCAAAATAAATTGGTGGTTCTTGGGGGTTTTGGGGGTTTGCTGCACATATTGCTGCCACTGTTCGATCTAACCTTTGACTACCGAAAGTGAGACATTTCTCTGTAACAGTTGCTCATCATTTCTCCAATTCACTTGTATTGAAAAGAATGCTGTATGAATTGAAGTCCTGGAAGTCCTGGCAACAGACACATTCTGGTTAAGGGTTTATGCTCATCACTCAATATATGAATTTGGTGAGGGTATGTATACTGAATGGGTCTTGCTTGGATTTTCCATCAACGACAAGAGTAAAGAAGTATGAAAGATTAGCTCTGACATCCGTAATTCAATTAATCATTACTAGAATTACTCTGTTCTATTACAGTCTTCAACCAATTTCCCACAACAAATCAAAGACAAAATCAAAGACAATAGGAATGGTATTGATACTTTGGGTGAAATGTGAAGCTATGAGGTGATTCCTTGATCATTCATCTGGCAACTCAGATGAAAGCCTGCTCCTTTTGAACTATTGATGGCCTGAGTAAAACATGGAAGACTAAATACTGGTATCTACCCCACTGGCATATTAAAATTGATAGCTAGCCAAGTCCCATTTCTAGGAAAATAATGCATATATGATAGATAGGTTTCTCAATGACTGTTCCTCAGCCAAGTATGAAGCATTTGGCATGAAGCATGAGGAATGAAAAAAACCACCCAAAAGGAAAATCCAGCTACTAAGACTAAAAATTACATCAAGGTAGATCTGTCTGGCATTTAAATCATTCTTAAATCTTTGATGAATGAGGCAAACGAATTTGACAGGCTTGCTTGATCTCAGAACATTACAGGACTGCTTTCACCTATTGCATCATCCATACAAACAGAAAATGCTGTCCACCATAGCATGTTTGGACAAGCGATGAATACCTCACAAACCATCAAGCTTCCAGACATATCCAAACATATCCAAACATATCCAAAAGATTACCATGCCAAATACAAGTCATAGATAAGGGCATTCCATATTCTATTTGGCAGAACTCCAAAACATCACAACAACTAACGTTCCCTGTCCATACCAAAATATCCTGATACGGTCTAGTCTTCAGACCCAATACTCCTTATTCTCGATATTATGGTCCACAGACACTTATTATATTGTCACAGCCTTCGCACATTGTTTTCAGAGATTACATCATTGCATCATTGCTTCTGCGGAAGAGGATATGATAGTTGGACACGTTGTTCGATTAGGTGATTGAATTTCGGAGTTTGCGGCAAACAATGGTAGGTCCCCTCATATGCTTCATGATTCATCCCCCTATCTGGTCCTTCCGCAACCGATTTATCCGATCCAACCGACCGACTGACTAGTGCAAGTACTACCGGTACAAGTATGTATCCTCATAGCGTTTTAGACCAGATTACATTCTGTAATGATTCTTATGGTTAACTGGAGTTGGCTGGACTGGTTTTTGTCCATCGAAATTGAACCGATGTTGAACAGTAATCAGTAATCAGTAATTGCCGAAGCTAATAGTGGGTTTAGATGGACCTTATGGAGCCCTCTACCTCGCATTGATCACAGTCTCTGGGGTCTCCATCTAGGTGTCTTCGGTGATAAGAAACTTGTTATGTTCTATCCCGAAGAAACTATTCACAGACTAGCTGAAAGTTCCTGGTCCGATGAAGGGATGAATACATGAAAGAGTCAAGTCTGAAAGTATCAATGGTGTAACTAACTCAAAGCCCATGGCTAATTTCGAGAAGAATAAAAGAGTTGATAATGACTAGTACCCATCCAGGAACAAGATTTAAATGAAGGTCTTACCAACCTCGGCTTCATGTCCGTTACCCGTGAAGCTACCGGTACTCATGCTTGTACTGTACTTACACTAAATCAAAAGTATCTCCGAACCCCGCATTATAATAGCTTGTTACAGTGATACTGACTGTTCACCAGGATCTCTAATTATCACAGTTTGATTTCCTCTCCTACACTTTCATTCTCGTATTTAGGTAAATAGCTTTTACACCCAGTTGTTCTGTCAATTCTTACAATCCAATTGACATCTACAGATTTCTGGTTTGTTCACCGGCAAGAACCCCTAATTTCTTACCCCAAGGTTACGGCACAAACATCCCTATAATTCAGCATCATGGTTTTTGAACCTCCATCATGGGTTCCGAATGCTTCATTGAGTATGTATACGCACCAATTCATCTATTGCTTTTTTTTCTCGGAGCTGAATAGCTAATGACAATTTCCGCGCACAGATATACCAAATGACATACCAATTAGTCAATTCATGCTGAATGAGAAATATGGCAGACAACCCTTTAAATCATCTCGCAATCCCTTCACATGCGGAATATCAGGAAAAACATATACAATTTCGGAACAGGCACAGCGAGTTGAGCACCTAGCAAAAGCCCTATCAAAGGAGCTAGGGTGGGAACCAAATACCGGAACAGAATGGGACAAAGTAATGGGAATATTCTCACTCAATACTGTAGGACGATTTGCTCGCATATTCAAACAAATGGCGGACTGATGATTTCTTAGATTGATTTCATGACATTGGCATATGCAGTTCATGAATTGGGTGGAGTTGCTTCGCCTGCAAATGCTCAATATTCTGCTGCGGAGTTAGAGTTTCAATTGAAGTCCTCGGGGTCCAAAGCATTATTCACAGTAAGTCTAAGGTCTTTTCGCCGTCTGGAATCTCTCAAAACAAGGTACTAACCTGAGGAACAGTGTATTCCTTTACTCGATACTGCCCTACAAGCTGCAAAAGCTGCAGGTATCTCAAATGATCGGGTATATATTCTGGATTTGCCCAAGGTGCTTACTGGGGGCAAAAAGGTACCATTCAAGACTGTGGATGATTTGATTGCTGCGGGGGAAAAGCTTCCAAAATTGGAGTTATTGAGAATGCAGAAGGGGCAGGCGGCTAAACAGACAGCATATTTATGTTACTCGAGTGGAACGTCAGGTTTGCCAGTAAGTATTTTCCCCATATTCAAATGAGATGTCTCTCAGAATGATTTCCCATAGCACAATCGCCAATTGAAGAAACATGGCTAATCAAATTTTAGAAAGGAGTGATGATTAGCCATCAAAATGTCATTTCAAACGTCATACAGCTCAAAACATTTGAGCAAAACGTTAGAGATGAATGGGAAGTGAATACAGAAGTAGCTTTAGGCCTTCTTCCCCTGAGCCATATTTATGGATTAGTCGTCATAGCCCAAGGCACAACTTATCGCGGTGATGAAGTGATTGTCCTTCCAAAGTTTGAAATCCAGTCATTCTTGAATAGTATTCAAACCTACAAGATTCAAGGTCTCTACGTAGTAAGTACACTTGACATAGAATGTGCAAATCTCAAGCTCATTGCCATCAGGTCCCCCCAATTATCATTCAAATGGTGAACAATCAATCTGTATGCTCGAAATTTGATATCAGTTCTGTTCGAGGCCTTTTTACTGGCGCAGCGCCTCTAGGCACAGAAACAGCAGAAGATCTGCAAAAGATTTATCCTAAATGGGCAATCCGTCAAGGCTATGGTACTTCATCCCCCAAAATAAACCACGACGATGTCTAACATACCTCCTAGGTCTAACCGAAACATCGACGGTGATTTGCATGACTTCCGTAAAGGATATCTGGCTTGGATCCTGTGGCTCGCTCATCCCGGAAGCCCGTGCAAAGCTAATCAACCCAGAAGGCGTTGAAGTCACTGGCTTTAACCAGCCCGGTGAACTAGTAGTTCAGTCAAAATCGGTAGTTCTCGGATACCTCAATAATGAACAGGCAAACAAAGAAACATTCATCGCGGATACAGATGGAAATGGTAGATGGATGCGTACGGGAGATGAAGCTGAAATTCGCATAAGTCCATCGGGGAATGAACATGTTTTCATTGTTGATAGAATTAAGGAACTTATTAAAGTCAAGGTACATCATCTTCCCTCCCATCAACTCCTCCCGAAATCGAACTTACAAAAATCTACAACAGGGTCTCCAAGTCGCACCCGCTGAGCTTGAGGCTCATCTGCTAGCTCATCCCTCCGTTGCCGATTGCGCAGTAATCCCTATCCCAGACGATGCAGCTGGCGAGATACCGAAGGCATATATTGTCAAATCTCCATCAGTAGGTATAGAAGAGAATGATTTGTTGGTGAAAAGAGAGATTTGTAAGTGGGTGGAGAGTCATAAGGCAAGACATAAGTGGTTGAAGGGTGGTGTGGAATTCATAGATGTTATTCCTAAGAGCCCGAGTGGAAAGATTTTGAGAAGATTATTGAGAGATAAAGAGAAGGACGCGAGAAGAGCTAAGGGAGCGAAGTTGTGATGTGGTTGTTGGAGTCGGTAGACGTTGGAGAGCGATTTGATGTAGAGATAGACGAGAAGAGATTTATATAGGGACATGAATTGAAGTTTTGAATACTACATCTATAATGTACAGTATATGCCTTTCTGTCTCGTCTGTGCCAGGAAATATCCGGGATCACTCAAGCCCGATCCCAGTATCATCCAACAATTCGGAGTTGAGAGAATGATTCTATTTCAGCTGAACTATAGATAAAATCTGTATAGGATCACAAACTTCAGATGATATCTACCAAGATACTACTTAGCATTTGTAAGCCTATTTCGGGGATGTTGATGTTGATGTCGAAGATGAAAATGGAGGGGCATAATCAAACTGGTCCGTGCGTCGCGGGGCAAAGAGAATGGACCCCAGAAAAAAAAAGATTATCAAGCATTTTCGAACTCCGAAGAAAACAATTCCTAAAAGGTTATCTTAGTAAAACCCGCAAATAACTGTCATACTCATTCATTTTATTCGAACACTCCTCTTATACTGCCAACCACATAAACTAATATACACTAAACCATGTCATCCTCCCACCAACCCCACGATAATGACCCCGTCAACGAAGACGACAACGAAATGTTCGACCCCGCGGACGCCGCCGAAGAAATCGAAGATATAGACGGCGACGGCGACGCTGCCATGGATTCCGGCGATGAAGATGCACAGGGAGAAGGCCAAGGGGAAGACCAATTAATGCAAGAAGAATACGAACTTGTCAACGATTCCATCGCCCATTTCGATCACCATAAAGATTCCATCTTCTGCATAGCACAACATCCTACCCGACCGGAAATCGTCGCGACGGGTGGTAGTGAGGGTGATGATGAGGCAGGGGCTGGATATATTTTTGATGCGACGCCCGAACCGAGTCCGCTGTTGCCGGCAAGTTATCAGAGTAATCCCGATGAGAGGGTGGAGCGAAGGGGGCTGGAACCTATCTTTAGGTTGGAGGGCCATGCCGATTCGATTAATGCGTTGACATTTACGTTGCCGGATGGAAAGTTTTTGTTGTCGGGAGGCTTGGATGGGAAGTTAAGGGCGTATGTGACGAATGGGAGTAAATGGAAGTTTTACACCGAGGCGCAGGAGGTCGAGGAAATCAACTGGTTGATTGCGTGTCCGAATGCGAACTCGCCAAATACTTTTGCGTTGGGTGCAAATGATGGGAGTGTGTGGGTTTACAAGGTGGATCCGAGTCAGAAGGGGGCGCCGCTGCAGCTGATGCAAAGTTATTTCTTGCACAAAGAGTCTTGTACTGCGGGAGCGTGGTCGCCGGATGGTAAATTGTTGGCAACGGTTAGTGAGGATGGAAGTTTGTATGTGTGGGATGTCTTTGGAGAGGCTGCCGCGGCTGGGTTGAATCAGGGAGAGAGTGGACAGACGGTCGTGGGGCTTACGGCGTTAGATCAGAGGTTTGCGGTTGAGGGGGGGTTATTCAGTGTGGGGATTGCGCCGAGCGGTCATTTTGTTGCGGTGGGTGGAGCGGGAGGTTCGATAAAGATTGTGGGATTACCTAGATTGGGCGATACTTCAGGTGCAGCATCGAAAAGTAAAGGTGGAAAAGCTGCAGCTGGGAGAGCTGCCGCTGCATCCGCTGGTCAAACCGGACAAATCCTTGCAGATTTACAAGCACAAGGTGATGGAATCGAATCCATCGCATTTGCACAACCCCCATTGACATTAATGGCGACCGGAAGTGTAGACGGCAGTATCGCGCTCTTCGACTGCGCCCACCGATTCGCCGTACGACGCCACATCAAAGAAGCACACGAGGAATACAGCGTGGTGAAGGTGGAATTTCTCAAAAATGCAAATGCGGGAGGCTGGTTACTGACCAGTTGTGGCATGGACGGAGTAGTCCGTAGATGGGATACTAGAGGGGGAACTGGAATTGCAAATTCGGGATTCGTGAGGGAGTGGAAGGGTCATAGGGGCGATGGAGAGGGTGGTGGTGTGTTGGGTTTTGTGCAAGGGGGTGGGGGTAGAATTGTAACGGCGGGTGATGATGGCATTAGTTTGGTTTTTGATTCGCCGATTTGAGCTATTGGAGTGGTGATGAACTAGTTATAGGTGGGTAGGTGGGTGGGTATGCTGGGGGAGTTGACCTTGTGATTTATACCATGAGGATTAGGATGCGTGAACATTAGACTTTTTTCATTTAAATGAAGCAATACAGTATAAGTATAGTATCTTGCAGACTTCCAAATCAGATTTGTTTTCTTTTGCACAAATAGAAAAGCTGGTTTGTAGTATATATTCGTGTATTTGTACTCCTATATAGTAATTGTGATTATAGACTAACTTATTTATATGCCTCTACTCGAGTATTATATCTTTATATCTCTTCTCTATTCAATCTATTCAATCTATTCAATCTATTCAATCTATCACAATCCATTACAAATCATCAACATTTCTCTTATATATAATAGTATATAATAGTATATATATATGAATAAATAGCACATCTGTTAAAATTTTAAATTTTAAATTTTAGAGTTCAAGTTATCACGGGGCTGGTACGGGTACTAGGTAAGATGTATGATATTCGACAAGGAGAGAAGGAGGCGCGTGGAGCGACGACTATATGGTGTATGGATGCCTAAGGCATCCATCCGAGCTAGCTAGGAACGGGTAGTGAATCCGTGACACAAGTTCAGTAATACTCGTATTATATTATATATACGAGGAGAGTATGAGATCATAATTGATAAGATCCACGCAAAATATTTCCTTTAAATCTAGTTTTAAAGCTAGTCGTAGCTCTAGTCCTAGTTTATATATCTAAGCCTAAAACAAGGTCTAAATCTAAACCTTACCCGTTGCCTCTAAGAGGGAGAGGAGCAGGGAGATGAGGGGTGTGGAAGTGGAAGTGGAAGTGGAAGTGGGGGTATGTATATATGGTTAGTATGAGTATGAGTATGAGTATGAGTATGAGTATGAGTATGAGTATGAGTATGAGTATGAGTATAGTATTAATGATGTGATAATTAAGGGATTTTTTGGGAGAGATTGAAATTTGAATGTATTGTATTGTGAATTGAGAATATAACATGATATACATGAAACTAGAATATTTGATATATAGCGATCGTATCAATATAGAATAAAATCCTATATATTCATCTTCTATTATTTTGTTAAATATATTAAATAGAGAAAACACAAGATGAAAATAAAGAATAGCAAAGAGAACTATTTAATTTCTTTAGATAGAAAATATATATAAAGTAATAAACTACTCGAGTACTTAAGGAGTAATAAGCGAACAATGAGATAACTAGAATTAGAAGATAGAGTATATTATAAATATTATTCTAATAAATATCTAGCTCTTCGTTCATAAAATATAAATAACCGATTTAAATCAAATACTATAATACATTCTCCAAAATTGCAATACAAACAATGCCACTTTCCAAAACGTAAACAATTTTTCAATATCACTAAATAACGAATTCCTTACTATTCAACAAGATAAGATACAAAAGAATATCTAACGCGCAGCTAGCTTAATCTCTTTTAGTAAGATTACCTTCCATCATTCATCGACACGACTAGATGTTTTCAAGAATTTGGGTATTCTTGCAATTAAGGAAATCGGCGGGATCAAACGCTTTAGATATCCCTAACCAACCCTAGTGGCCCGAACCCCGGAGCGCTGGAGTATGGCACACGGTATCGGGACGAAAGTGGTCATCTTGGGTTCCCGAACACTCAAAACGGACTTTCGAAGTCCACTCGACTTCCACCGCTGGCAAAAAGATGACAGAGCTAATGACGACCCGTCTATTGGACTTCCAAGACTCGGTCAGAAAGTATACAATACGCGGTAGCGAGTATTAGATCTATGGGGAAAGCTCTTGAATGCGAAAGTGGAAAGGTCGACTGTCGGACGCTCATACACTCAAAGCTCGGCGATTTAGGATTAGTACCTAGCTCGGTCAAAGAAGAAGACCTTGTCTGTATATTCTATGGTTGCACTGTTCTGTGATATCAAGAAGACACTTCAAGTCCCAGGATGAGATAGATCAGCACATAATGGCAAGAATGGCTCGTGATGAATTGCGCAGTGCAATAAATCAAAGCTTGGTGGGACAGACTGAAGTCGAGACAACAGACGGCCATGCAGCAGGATGCCGGATGAAAAAGGAGCAACAGCTCATGGAGCAGCAAAGGATGAAAAATAGTTAAAATCAACACTTCGAAAGCATAATGGGCAGCGATCATATACTTCTACTGACATTGGTGGTTTGGATTCGGAAAAAGGCAAGCGTGCAAATTACAACGAGTGAACAGTAAAGAGGAGATTCCCAGGGTGCGATATGTGACTCGCGAACCCGATCCAGTCTACCTACTGCCACTTCATTAGAGAGTTCTACCTCCATGGGATGATGGATAGCGAAGTAATCTTGGTTTAAGCGAAAAGTAAGGATATGATGCCCTCGCAGATCTTTGAGCTACATTGGGATCTTGGAACTAAGGCCAAAATATGGTCGATTTATTGAGTGTATCCGAGACATTATCTGTAAATGAGAAAGATGATGGTTTTACGGTGACCTCATCTTCAGATGAGATACGACATTCACCGTACGATACCTCAACTTGTGCAACTCAGAGGCGATGTTCCACTTATACGTCATCCACTTCTCGAATGTCAAATCCGAATAATTCATTGCTCACCACACTACTCTCGTCGACCAATTTTTGGGCGGTTTCCACCCCAGCCGTCGGAACTCGATATTCAAATCGCTTACCCTCAGCAGGCAATCGGCCATCAGGAAGAGGATATGGGAAGGGAAGATACTCGGGTAGGAGACCGAGCTGTCGAAGGGCGGTAGCTTGATCCCAGGCGATATGCTCATGATATAAACGATCACCACGAACGTTAACGACAGAAGTGAATGGAATTCGCGCATGTTTGTTTGTTGGCGGAACTCCTGGGAGACTGTTGTGATGTTAATTGAGAGGTTATTGTTCTCTTTAAATTTCACTTACATCCAATCTATCACTCTATTATGCGTGAAACTGAAAATGAATTCATCAACGACTCGATCGACACCAACGGTACGACTGACCAATTCAAGCTTTGTATCTTCCGGATTACTGAATACAAAGTGATCGCTGTAGAACTCTGTCAAAGGTCCCCTCCCAATGCCACCAGTCATCTAGTGGGATATGTGTTAGCATAAAGAAAAGGCAATGAACAGATCACGTACCGTTGGAATATGATTTACATATGGCTGGTCAACCATGGTACTCATCGTTTTCCCAACATCTCGTTCACCAAATTCATAGAGTGTGTGCTCATCCCAAATAGCTTCGAGATCAAAAATGGGTCCACCAAGGTGTTTTTTGATGAATCCAAGACTCCTCGTATGTGCCACACTCGCAGCCCCAGGATCGTAGTAATCATGACTAGGGAGAATGAAGTTTGCTGATTTTGTAGCCTCATATACATGAGCGACATCATCAGCTCTCAATGAAGGGTCATGTAAGCTCTTGGAGCTGTGAATCATAAATGGAGGCATAGATGCATGTGTAAGTGTTTCAATGAGTTTTTTAGTATCATCGGTGAAGATAGTAGCGACCAAGAATATTCCCTGGTGTATCCATTTGATGACAATATCAGTGTGTACGCTTTGATCCAAGTTTTCAGCATAAACTGGATGAAAAAACCTTCTGTCAGCTGCTTATGACATATAAGTTGTACATAGTAATGTAATGACAATAAATGTAAGAACATACAAATGAGTCCCAATTTGTCAGGATCAGTACATTCTGGTGATGATTTAAGAGCTTGCACACCCGAATCTAGGTAAGGTCTCAAGTCTGTTTCACCAGCCCCTAATTCGTGATCAGGAATTGTAACATTCACAACAACAAAACCTTCTTCTGCCCATTTCTGACATGGCTCTGGATCGAGTGTCTTTCGGTCAGTTCGTACAGCATAACTCTCCGATACTAAGATCAATAACCCTGGTCCTCTGCCTCTTCTAGATAGAGGCTTTTGGATAACAGTTTGATCTCCCAGGCAAAAAGTTCGTGAAGTCAAGTTTTCTATACTGTTGTTCATCTTGTCACTGTCACCGCGACAAACACCAGCTGTATCTGTATCTGTGACTGGGCTGGTAAATGGAAAGTGGCTCAATTCTCCCTAGGAAGATAGTTTGCAATAGTTATTTATACCGAAAACTTTGAATACTATATGACGAAAGCAATCAGCAGGAGATCAAGAGAGTAATCTGCGACAGCAAGCAGGACATGCTCGATTCATCCAAGCATTTCTCCAAGCACGACCGAGACCAATATACATACCGAGCTTCAGATTGAATACCGCTAGGTTCAGATATATCAGCAGAAATCTAACAGTGTATAATTTTAACAGTAGATGTAGGTAGACCGATGTGAGTAGTGGTTGGTGGTGGTAATGATTGGGGGTGAGTCTACGCTAGAAAGCATGTGGTTAGGGTCACTTGTCAGAAGGGACGTGCTCTGTCACTGTTATTATATGATTATGTAATAATAATATTGATATGAAGCCCCTCACCTAAAATCCATGACTCCTCCAAACCCACCATTTCTTTTCTCCAACATGATTGTTTTTCAATCAAGAGACAATCATTTGAATCTATTCAATTTTTTTGGCACAAAGGAGAACACCAATGGCATATATCACAAGCTAAAATGGTAGGCAATCACCTATCGATCTGTTGCCTTGCGAATTCAACACATAACATCAGGTTCTGCGCATCTAGAGACGAGTAATACTGATGAGCAGCTACACAAAACTTCGATAACGGCATTACTATACTAATATATGTACCTGTGGGGACGTCGATAGGGTGCGCGCACTGCTTCAATTAGAAATATTGCTATCGATCGCGATCAAACATACGAAGATGACCTTGAGATAATGGATATGAGAGCAAGCTTGGATGGGATGAAAGATGACGATTCCGCAAACGGATACCCAATGCCCCAACTGCGACGACAAAGATTACGATGATAGTCCTACACGATAATACAAAGCTTTTTGTTCTTGTAGGCAATCTACAAGATCCTACCAAAGCAGGACTAGCAGATTAGAAGCCAGAAAAACTCAAGGGACCTCTCTTATGACAGACGGTATGGGCACTTGATATTCTATCAATTTTAAAGCACAAAGACCTACAATCCTCGACCTCCATTTGTTGCACTTACTGTCTGAGTAAGGCTGTCGTATTTGCGTAGTCGCATTTGCATAGGAATTGGCTGGCTACTATTTCCATCGAGGTAGGTGGTGAGAGATTTTGGAAAATGCTTCGTTTTCTTGCAGACATCTTCTAGAAGCAGCTAGAGCTGCTGATACGATCAAGTAATGAGACGTAATCCGTTTTGTTGATTACATATAAAGACAATTAACATTCAAAGGGTCCTTAAGGGGACAAAATAAGTGGATAGCCCAATATGCGAAATCTCCCTTGGTACAACTTTTCAGTATCTACACACAAGATCTATAATTTTCAACTATACTTTATGACCATCATTTCCTCCTTATCGAGAAATCACTTCCTGCGATGGCCACCAAACCCCCATTGAATCTGGTTTGCGACTTTGATGTGAGCACCCAATTCATCTGCAAAAGCCCAGACCAAACCAGGATTCTTCAGAAACATCCTACCGATAAGGACAATGTCAAGTCCCTCCTCCAATAGGTTGTTTGCTTGAACCCCCGATGTAATTGTTCCAACCGTACTCACAAGAAGGCTATCACCCACTACCTCCTTTATCTGGCGAGCAAACGGTGCTTGGTATCCAGGACCACCGTTAATCTTTTGCCTTGGATCATTTCCCCCACTCGAAACGTCAAGAATATCTACACCGCGAGCGGCCAGCAGCTGGGCAAGCTTAATAGACTCGCGAACATCCCAGCTTGGTACATCTAGGAGGTGTTCCAGCCACTCGGTTCCGCTAATGCGAAAGAAGAGAGGCATGTTTTCCGGCATGTTTTAGCGAGTGATATCCACGAGCTCGAGTGCAAATCGAGTCCGATTCTCGAAGCTGCCACCATAATCATCGGTTCTCTTGTTGGAGGCTGGGGAGAGAAACTCGTGTATGAGGTACCCATGAGCACCATGAATCTCAATGGCCTATGCGTTTTCGCCATCAGTAATCGTTCAGCCCGAGTTTAATTTATGAACAGGAACTTACGTCAAACCCAGCCTGTACAGCTCGCTTAGTTGCTTCCCCCCATGCGTCAACCAATGGCTTGATTTCATCCCGGGTCATCTCGCGAGGGATAATGTTCTTGTCTTCATAAGCGAGGGGGCTAGGTGCGACCACATTGTCTGGCCAGCCATGAGCCTGATAATTCCAAGGCAGTCATCCACATCCATTCGAGTTGGTTTATCGAGCTTCAATAATCATACCGGTGTAAACCCCTCATTTTCGAATCCATTCACCTTTAAAAGTCAGCATCTACTACCCAGAAAGTTGTGGATCAGTCAGACGTACGTTTCTTATAAGAGCCGCGGGGCCGCGCGACATGCTTAACCAAGGGGCCACGGTGCTTGCTTTGCGTCCAGCATGCGAAAGCTGAATGCCGATTCGCTGGCCTTGGCCATGTGCAAATTGCACAATCCTTCGCAACGGCTCGATTTAAGAATATTTCCAGAGACCGCAATCTTCGGGTGTGATGCGGCCTTCAGGGACAACAGCCGTGGCTTCTACAAACGAAAGTCCCGGTCCGCGCGAGATGATTCCACCTAGGTGAGCAAAGTGCCAATCGGTTTGATGCCCGTCCTCGGCTGAGTACTGGCAGAGAGGTGATAGCTTCATGGTTTCCATACATGGTTAGCTCTAGATAATGTGACGTTGACTTGGATTCATTCACGAGAGAGAAGACGTACAATAATGCGGTTCTGGAGCTCCAGTCCTCTGATTTGCAATGGTGCGAAAAGCTTTGGGACTTTTTGCTCGTCTTCCTCTAATGCAATGACGGTGCCCGGCAGGTGGTTTTTGCTCGGGTGTAAAATAGGAGACCTGGTTATGAATTAGTATTTCAAGGGAACGGTTGATTCGGAGACCTCGAAAGAAACATCACTGGCGCTTGTTGAAGGCACATTTTCTATCTCAATGATGGCCGCATTATCGATATTTGCGTATTGTGCCTAGTCCATTGCGTCGGTCAATGGCGTGTGAATGTTCTAATATGCAATGAGAGCTTTTCAGGGGATAACTGAGAAGTTGCTCTTATGGTGGGATGAAATGGCTTGCTCATTCTCTTCGTGCTTGAATTGTTCGACCTTCTATATTTATATTATGCTCAATCCATCACGTCACTCCCTTTCACTTCTGGTACTCACACTGCCAAATAGTATATAATCTTGATAAGCAGGCACGTGCCCAGATTGGTAAACCATGATTCTACGAGGAGCTGCTGCTGCTGCTGCTGCATACTCTGCTATTTGAGCGGCGATTCGCATACTTGCTTGGCGACATGAGTAGGTACGGTAGCTTCCACCGGACTTCCGACTGCCAGAATATGGGGCCGTTTTACCACCCCGGTAGCCCCATACTATATGACCAAGATCCCCATAAATTACGTCACAAGGAAATCGGGCATTATTGATTAACGTGGTTTTGAAGAGGATTTTGAAAGTGTATTGAGATTTCAAATGTGAAACTAAAACAGCATTTTTGTGATCTATTCCGAAGATCACCCTGTCAATTCCCCTTCCCTCATTGTGAATTCGATATACCTCATGTATTATCCTCGTCGTCGCACCCTTGTCGTCGCTAACCCTTACTTGATCGCTTATTTGAACGATTGACTCTTCTTATTGGTCTATTGAGTGTTTTTTTATATCATTTTATTATTCTTTTATTTAGATAGGTGATTGATCTAAGTGATTGAACTACTGAGTAAGTGATTGATTGAAATTATTTCAATTGTATTACAGTACTGGTTATGAATTTGAAAGAATATTGAAATGATTGATCAGGTTCTTGATCTGAAGATATGATTACCAATCAGCGTTGTGTTAGGATTAAGAGAATGCAGCTACATTCAACTGAAAGCTACCGGTAATCTACTCGAGTAATTCCTATTGGAGTTAACCTATAGCTTTAATTCTCAATAGATCATCTCAGTAGATCATCTCAAATTCTCAATACATTTTTTAGGCCAATCCCGTTATTTACAAGGAATAGGCTTGTATGCAGTGACCGTAGGGCTTCTTCCATAACATCATCGTCTACTTTCGATATTTGATTTCAAAGCAGTTCCTTCCGCGGCTTAAGGGTAGATGACAAACCCTATTCTTTACTGGAAAATATATATTCGCAGCTCACCTGTCAATTTAGAAATCAATCAATCAATCGATTCTTTCTCGTTGACCTCCTGTCTTTCTAAGATCTATCACTTTTCATCTACCTAAATTTATATCCTTAGATTCTTCTCATGATGGCTAGTCACAAGGTTGGCGTTTTTCCTGCATCGGGGGGAATTGGAGGCAGCACTGTCAAGTATCTACTTCCCCGTCTTCCCGCCAAAGATCTGGTGTTCATCGCCCGAAACCCCGCAAACTTGGAGTCAGCTCGGGCTGCCGGTGCCACTATTCGTCAGGGAAACTATGACGATGATAACACCCTGCAGCACGTGTTTCAAGAAATCGATACCCTGTTCCTAATTTCCTATGCATCAGTCGAATATGAACATCGAGCCGAGGTAAGTTCCCAAGGTTGATGGGACATGCATACCCGTCAATGTATTTCTATTTCAAGACCTATAACTTACGATATCCAGCGTCACCGAACCGCAATTGACTTTGCTCTTCGCAGCGGAGTCAAATACATATTCTACGGATCCCTAGGATTCGTCGGCCAGGAAACCAGCAAAGAAAGCGTCGCCCACGTCATGCGCGCCCATCTAGACACCGAGAAATACCTCGACGAATGCACGCGAACCCATCCCGGATTCGCATACACGGTTATTCGCGAGGGTCTCTACTCGGAATCCTACCCCCTCTACACCGCCTTCTTCAACCCCCAACAGCCCGTCGACGAGATCCGCATTCCGCACGACGGGTCCGGCCCCGGCATCGCGTGGGTGAAGCGGGAGGAGCTCGGCGAAGGCACGGCGGAACTTCTATCGCGATTCGTCTCTGACCCCGCGGATTTCCGCTACCGTCTCCAAACGGTTCTTCTGTCCGGTTCCAAGACGCTCACGTTGCGAGAAACGGTGGATATTCTGGGTAAGATTGCCGAACGGCCGATTCATATTCGACAGGTGTCTGATGGGGAGTTTGCGGCTCAACCTCAGATGGCGCCGAATTTTACCTATCATGGAGTTGATCACTCGACGCTTTGGGCTACGGCTTTTGAAGCTTTCCGGAAAGGTGAAGCGGCGACTGTGTCGCCTTTATTGAGGGAGTTGTTGGGGCGTGAGCCGGAAGACTTTGAGACGACGATTGCGAGGTCAGTGTAGAAGAGAAGAGAAGGTTTGATGGGATGGGATATTATTGTTTGAATGGATATTTCTGACTATTGCAGTAGATGATGGGGAGTTATGATGCATTGTAGATATCAATTGTACAAATCTGAACATACATAGCATTGAATATAGACCTGTTGAACATTGAAAGTGCATTACTCATGTATCTTGTGCAGATTAATAACTTAACCTAGCAACGGTTTAGCGCTTTACCATAACAAGGATCTCTACTCATATACTCCGAGTATATACACAAATCTCAACCTTATTCAGCAGATTTTCAATTATTTTATATAAATCTTCTCATTTCTATTTCTAGATATCGATGAACATAGTATATCTACTCGAGTATCGAGTAAAGTACACCCGCCGGCATATATATATAATATATAATATTTATTATTGTGTATACGAGTATATATAAACATCTTTTAAATTTCATTTTATACTAGTTTGATTTGTTTTAATTGAGGGAAGGAGAGAATTTGTATTGTCTAGATTCCGAAAAGTGTAGTATACTAGTAGTAGTATGTGAGTTATAACTGATCATATAATAACGTATTGTATACCATAGTGTTTAACTTTCCAAATTTCAGTAATATGAAATATATATAATAAAAGGGCAAGGTTAATAAGTTGAAAATTAGTCGATTTTACGATTTTCAATCATCAAACACTTCCCGACATGATTAGTACAGTACTCTAGAGTACTAAAAGAAAACGAATTCTTTCTTTCTTTTTTTTGCTTTTTTTCAAGACATCTATTATATTTCAAGTTTTTAACAGGAGTGAGATATCCGGTGGTCTTCGCTCGACCTCCTCCCTGTTCAGTATTCAATATACAGTATTCAGATAACATAATATCCGGGTCGACTCGGAGTTCGGTGGAACATCCACCGGGGTATATCATATCATATCATATCATATCATCACATCACAAGGTACCTACCTAACCTACCTAGCTACCTCAACTAGCTCAATCCACTCCAAAGCCTTCTCTTCTCTTCTCCAAAATCCAGAATCCAGATACACTAGCTAGCTATATGAGGAAAATCATCTGAGATATGTTTGTATTACAGTATATATAGTATAGAATTAGCAAGTGCCTACATATACTCAACAATCGCAACCATCTACGAGTAACTTGAAGAATATAATACCGTTATACCTCCAGAAGCGTTGTTCGAAGTTTATTCTAGGTTACCTTACTCGAGTACCTTATCTACCTTTATTCTACCATAGAAAGTCTTCGTCTATTTATCCATTCATCCATTCACATCTTTCGTCTCGTGTGCCATACCATACCACCATGTCCACATCCACATCCACAACCACAACCCACCCCCCAAACGCCCCACCGCCACCGCCACCGCCATACCCTACCAAGGCCCACCCCTCCCACACATCGCCCCCGACCTCATTATCCCCAACATTCCCTCCCTAGAATTTCCCAAAGAACTCTAGGTACCGCAAGCCCCCAACATCTGGTTCCAACCCCTCCGAGTCATACTCTCCATCTCCCAAGACTACTTCGTCAACCTTCTACGCGTACGACGCTCTAGGATCCTCTCGCGGCACCGCCATACCGGACCTGTACACGCCACTACTATCCGTGGGACATGGCATTATCTGGAGCAACGAGTGGTGGGCGACGGAGGGAAGCCAGGCTTTTGAGCCGCCCGGGGGGTATTCATACGTTGGAAGTGCCGGAGGGGTTGGAGGAGATGGTGACGCTGTTTCATGTTAGGGGGGCGTATATCTATGTTGATCCTGATGGGAATCCGGTTGGGGTGGAGGATGTTTTCACCAAGCTTGCTAGTGCAAAAGCTCATTATGAAAAGGTTGGGCTTAGAGCAGACTTTGTTGATCAGTTTATTCGGTGATCCGTGTACAACATTACACTCAAAGAAAACATTGAAGATGTGGTGCGCTGTTGTTGCTGCGGATATTCCACAATATACATATATTGTATGCACTTCATACAACAACTCAAGCAACTGATCAAATGTTGAATCTTCAGCAAACAATAGATGCATGCGAATGATCTTGACATGACACATCCAAAGGCGTCCAAAAAGAAATGGGAAATCTGATTATAGCAGTTCGTTTCCTGTGAATTTGAATCCTCTTCAAGCCGCCTGGCAAGTATAGCCACGCCTTTTCTTACCCCAAGCTGGGTCCCTTATCACTATCAAAGGGGTCCCAGTTCCACATCCAACACTGTCCCAATGTACTATTTGAATCGAGAGAAGAAGCTTGTTCTGGCGTGGTGTTCAATTTTTTTTAGAACCATTAGCCACCTGCATCTGATTTCCATATGTATTTCCACACAAGTCAGTGGTGTTCATAGCAAACATTTCTGAGCCTGTCATCGGATGCGAATTTTGCCAGAGAACTGTGAGTCAAACTATCAGCGCGGTAAAACCTATTTTCCTACTATGCAAAAATATAACTCAGAGAAAAGAGGATTTGGCAAATTACGAAGACTTTTGAGACAAAGAGTTTGAGATACCTTGTTGGAATGATTCTAGGGCATTATCAACTCCTGCATCAGAAGACCAATTATCTCAGTCCATGCAAATATCAAGCTTTTCTGGGCCTCATTTCCGTCACTTGCGGTTCTATCTCTCCAAAGTCACGGGAACTTTGCAAAGGATCCACCACAACGGTTTGTGAAGCTCGTACTGGCGCCTGATATTGCTCGGGCTGAAGAGCCAGGCCATGGATTTTTCGTTCATGCTGCGGAGAGTTGGAAGTGACTTTGCCAGTATCCAAATTTAATGGGGGGCCGTCAAGCATTGCCTCCATTTCTCTTTTAAATATGAGCCGGAAAAGCTCCTCCAAAACCTTCACTGTCTGTAATGGAACCACAGATGATACTGCGAGAATTCTCTGAAGTGATATTGAATTCGACACTCCTATTTTTGCATACTGTGCTTGTTCCGAACCTGGGTCTGACAGCGCCACCATCCCCAATGTGACTCCCGCAGTAAAAAACTTGGATGGCGATATATGCAACAGCATGAGTATCCCGAGCAGCTAGGAGAAGTTTGGCGTTAGCGTGGTGAAATGTTACAAGTTCGCCTGACGCAATGCCTGCATTGTTTCAAGCTTGTGAGACGTACATCAGATGAAGTGGAGGTAGGAAATATAGTTAAACGATGATTATATCGAAGAAATGGCCGATGAAGAATTATTTGAATATTTTCATATGCCAGCTGTAATGCAAGGGCTTGTAGCTGGAATAATTTGCAGACCTTGAGCTCAGGTATTGAAAGATTGCTAGTATCCAAATCTGTGTTGGAATCTAGTTTTAGTTCTGATGGCAACTGGTCAAACCAATTTTCAAGATTTGTATTAATTGATGTAGCCTGATGTGCTATTGTAGCTGGATTTGAGTCTTTCAGGTTGTAAATGTCACCAATAATAGGAGATGCGATAATATACAAAGCAAATTTATATCGATGGTATGAGGTTAACGTCAACACTTCCCAGTTGACGAGGACTGGCCGCTTGGCTATCCATTATCTGCTTATAATCACATTCAAAAGAGGCCTCGTGGAAGAGGTTCAGCCTTTATTTTGAGCATTGATGAAGTCTCCTCCTGGAATGGCATTCGTACAATAATCTTCAACAGCTTTTTAGATCATCCAAAAGCCTATATAGCACATACCTTGAAGCTCCAGCTGTTGTTACACATGCAAGATCAGAGCGAACACATAATAGACTAATCGATCTTTAGCATTTTATTCATAGCATCATCAAGCATCATCAAACTACTTGTCTAAGATGTGAGACACATGGTAATGGTAGCTCACCAATTTCTGTACAGTATTCATAACTTAATGACTCGGAATTCCTAATTTGAAGTACAAGTATTATTATATGAAATGATCGAAAGAAGTAACAATTGAATTATAGCAATTGTTAATAACTTTGTATATTTATTATAGTAATTATTATTAGAGTAAGTTCTATATTGAGAGATATGTATAATAAGTGAGTAGTAGATATAATCTACTATGATGTCATCACCCCGCAATCTATTGCACCCAATAATCAAACGCAGCAAATGCAGTAGTTGTATTACCATGTATTACCATAAATCAGTATTAACCATAAAGCAAACATAACAAAACCTCAAATCTCAAATCTCAGAGATCGAACTTCGAATACCATATACCTCGAGTAAAACATCTAACATTCAATATTCAACATTGATCGCATTCAACCACATTCCACGGTCATGTTGATGCTCGTAACTATCCATCCAGCTTCAACGAAACTTTATAACGAAAAATATGGGATTGATCTCTTGTTCTTCCTTATTCAACAAATAACTTAGGTTTAACAAAAATACAACTACAATCATTGCCTGCGCGCATAATTCAATATGGAAGACGCGAGCAATTTGAAGAGAAAGCGCGGTTTAGGTGTAGTCACACAGAATGCTTGCACTGAATGCAGGAAGAAGCGTGCAAAGGTATTTATTAACAGTACTCAATTCTATCTATTAATTTACGAAAATCCGCTCAATCATTCTAGTGGCTTATCTGAATTGCTAACATCCTTTACTTTGTAGTGCGATGGCGGTGTTCCCTGCGCGAGGTGTGCGTCTCAAAAGAACGTCGATTGTGTTTATGAAGTCCCTGTGCGTCAATCAAAGGAGAATATGAGATCCGAAATCGAACAACTGAAGGCTTATCAACAACAAAGTGAGCGTGTGCTTGCTGCTATTGCTTCACATGATCAAACCGCGCAGGTCATTGATCTACTTCGACAGGGCGAAGGATTAAAGAGCATTTCGGACAATTTGCAATGCCCGTCACATACTGCATCAGGCCAGGAGGGAAACATCTCAACATACACAAATTTCACCGACCATCAGGCTATTGACAATGCACTCAGGCCGGCTCGAGGAATTATCACAGCTCCTTTCACCATGTCAGGATTAGGAGATTCACCGGGACAACTTGGCGATGCTCAGAATATGGGGGGTCAAGGGTTGTGGAATCAGTGGTCTGATGTGAACAGCGGATCATCTGGCATAGCTACTGGCGATGATTTGATGAATTGGACGGCGGATCCTATCCCGTTGCCTGAAAATTATGATTGTTCGACCACTGGAGGTACTTGGAACGATGAAATATCCGATCAGTCTATCCCGAATAGTACAATACAATATGCTAGAGGCCAAGGACAAGAAACTATTCTTGGTAACAGTGTCAGTTCATTGCAGGCAAATAGTCCAGTTCATCCTCCAGCATCGTGGACTAAAGTTACATCGGACTCTGATCTTGTAGATCATCTCATGGCACTTTATTTCTGCTGGGAGTATCCCACATTTGCCTCGCTGAGCAAGGAGCATTTTCTCCGCGACTATAGAAATGGCAAACGAGAGCATTGTAGTGAGCTACTAGTGAATGCGATATTGGCTTTGGGATGTCGATTCTCCACGCATACAAATGCACGGACTGATCCTAATGACAGTGCTACTGCCGGTAGCCATTTCTTTGTCGAAGCTACACGTCTGCTTAAGTCCGAGAAAGACCAACATCGCTTGACGACCATTCAAGCGTTAGGATTGATGTCAATTAGAGAAGCAAGTGCAGGTCGCTCTAGTGTGAGTATTTATCTTTCAGGGCAGTCCATTCGATTGTCAATTGAGATGGGTCTTGAAGCAGAAGGTCGGCAACCCACTGAACCATTGGAAGGAGCGCAAGCGGTACGACTAGCTACGTTTTGGGGGGCGTTCTCTCTGGACCAGTAAGCTTGTACTATTCTTCTATTTATCTATTTTGTTGGCTGTAATGTATCTCCCGCGGTTCGATGAGTACTGATGCGTTGTAGGGCCTGGTCATTGACGATCGGACGACTACCTCAATTCTCTCATCTTACCAGATTGCCCGTCAAGCCAGTAATTGTGGATTCAATTGAAGCATCAGCTTGGATTCCATATACAGATGATGGTAAAACCTATGCGACCACATATACTTAAGTGTGTTTCAACTGACAGGCTTAGGCGCACCCTTGGGTCGCAATTGCACTCAACCATCGAATATTCGAAGCGTGTACGCAACATTCTGCGAGCTTTCCGAGATCGTTCATCAATCTTTGTATCTTTTCTATACTCCTGGTTCAAATTTCACCAGCAACTCGTTACTCCAGGTGTATACTCGGTATCTCCGATGGTATGACTCTATTCCTGCCGCTCTCCGTTTAGGACACAACTTTACGCCAGCTGTGCTATTTTCACAGTACGTACCATGACATCTTGACATAATATACTTACGTTATATGTGCTAACGAATAGCCTTCAGCATGTACTATCATTATGCCATCTTACTTCTCTTCCGCCCCTTTATCAAACTCTCTATAGTCGGATCGGGCGTCTCACCCCGTGACGTTTGCAACCAAGCTGCAGATGCAATTTCCACCCTCACGAGCTCATACGCTCAACTTTATACCCTCAGGCGTACTCCTTCATTCGTACCCCACTTTCTCCTCGTCGCCAGCATCACTCACCTCGTAACGTTGGGGAATACCAAGATCGGCACCGAAAAGGTCACGCAAGGAATCACAGACCTCAAAGACATGGCCAAATGTCATGGATTTTCTTCCCGCGCTTGTAATATTCTTCGTCACCTAGCTCGAAAATGGAACATCGCAGTCCCAGATGACAACGAAGAGCAAACAGAGCCTGATACTCTCGATGCTCAGGCTCGTCCTTCGTCTGTCTCGTTTAATCAATTTTGTACAGAAGTGGACGGCTCGGATATGATGCGAGGTATTGGGGTAGCGAACGCAGAAGAGGATCCCCTCTTTTGGCCATTTCCTATGCAGGGAAGACCGTTGATGGCATACAAAGGCGACAGCCTCGAAAAGCTGGGGTTTGAGCTCTTGCGAAACTGAGAGCGTGAACACGACACGACACGGGGTCTGTATTACATACGGCATTGGATAAGCCAGGCCAGGCTAGGCTAGGCTAGGCGAGGCGGAAAATTTGTATCTCGGATTTTGGATACGGAGTTTATCACGAATGGAATGGACAAAGTACAAGGTGAAAAAGTTAATCCTCAAGGATGGATGGATGTTGTCACGGGCAAAATGCCCGAGCGGGTTGGTTGGGATTATGAACTCGGATAGGATATGATATGATATGATATGATACGATATGATACCTTTGGGAGGCGGAGGCGGAGGCGGAGGCGTTTTTGTATATCTTTTCGGGCTGAACTACTCGAGTACAAAAATGAACAATGGATGGTAAATGGAGATGAGTTTTGGTTGGGTACGAGGCATGGATTGGTATTGTGATTGTGAATTTGTGATGACGCAACAGCGCAACATATATGGAGAATAACAGCCACGGGTGACGGACGGTATTAAAATATGGGAAATTTTTCCATTATCAATGTGAAAAGAGATCGTTGGAGCTCTATTACTCGTAAATACCACTATGAATGAATGTATAAGAAACTGCCATTTATCAAAAGTGATTCACTTGAACATCTACCTGCCGAAAATATCATAATGTGCCGTTTCGTAGCTTCCGGAAAGATTCCCTCACAATCATTGTATAATCACAATCACAAAATTGCATGTGGAAAAAGAAATTTGATAGATGGTAGTTGACCGTGTTTGTCAAATAAACACGCCTGATAATTGTATTGGCACATGGTGGTGATACACAATCCGGTACGCCAGCCTAACCCATGATATCTTTAATTTCAAGAGGATGGTTCATCCTCTAACGCCATATGCCACCGTCCATCCTAGGACTTTTCACCCAATATACCTCGGTGTATCATTAAATTTTAAATCCACCAAAGGTTTCCCACCCATCCCATTAAATTCTCCTGATCCAAACAAATCCTCCAGCTGCTCACAAGACTGCCCGACGTCCATCACCGCGTCCGGTTTTGAAGTCATCGGCGTCTGCACCTGTTTCTTCATGATAACCTTGATAGTCCAAGATAGCGTCATTAGCGATTCTAAACTTGAAGACTCACCACCATCGCGAAGATCACACATGTCAGCGCCGTTCATACAGTCGCGAGTGAGCTGCTGTTTAGACGCTAACCGCATTGCCTCCAACGTCGCATCCAGAAGAGGACGCGCCATGTTGGGACTGCAGGCTAGAAGTCTTTTCAGCAAGCGAACTCGAAGAGTGAACTTCGGGCGCAGACTGTGTGATCTCGTCTTGGTAAGTGAAATCGTCGAATATGGACTCGTTAATGGTGCCGTTGTTGTCGTCAGCCAGATTATCAAAGCTGTTATTGAAGGTGTCGATGAGAGGCTCGAGGCGTTCCTCAAGGAAAGTCTGATCTGCTCCAAGGGAGTCAGGATGTTCGAGAAAGCCATTAAACCCATTTGGATCCATAACGTAATTGCCAAAATTTGAGTAATTAGGGAAGTCTGGGATGAACTCATCCAGGGCCTTTGTTCTTTCAGCTGACACTGCAGGTCGCACAACATCGCGGCAGGATGTTGTATCATACTGTAAGAACTGGCGTTGAATGAGGTTTCATCCGTGGGTTCCATTGTTGGTGGTGGTGATAAGGAGGCTGGGTCAACCGTTCCCATGGCGGATTGCATGGTATTGTGAGTGTCCCTAATGGCTTGTGGGGTCATCAGTGGTCTAACGGAGGCTTCTTGTTCCACTGCAAACAAATCTTTCGTGAGGGCGATTGGAGACTGTCGGTGGAAATTTTCTTGCCGACTTGGGGTGGATACGATGGCAGAAGGGAGAAAGGTGGGTGGGAGGTTGCCGCCAGCGACCCCAGTGACCTCTTCAAGTTTTTGAAGGACCGTTGCATATCTAGATGACATGTCTGCCAACATTAATTCTAAATCACGATTTCTACGCTCTATTTGTATTTTTTCGGCTTCGAGAGCGTCAACCTCTTGTCGCTTTCGTTCTCTTGATGATTGTGCCGCTCGTCGATTTCGAAGGACTCGCTCAACTCGTCGTTGCTCCTTTTCATCTTCTGTCTTTGCTCGTTTTCTGCGACACAATCATTAGCTCATGTTTTGAGTTGACCCATGACAGATTAAATTAATTACCTAGGAGGGAGATTCGTCTTGGGTTCAGGTAATTGTTGACCCCAAGACTTTCTCTTCTTAACTGGTTTCTTTTCTGGTGCTGGTGTACCAGACAAACTTTCACCAATATCATCACCAAACATGCTCTCATCATCAAATGATTGTGGAGTCATGGCTTGTCGTGGTTCCATGCTATGTTCTGGATGGAATAATGAAGGATATGGTCTACCAGGGGCCGAGTCAAATGACTCGGCGAGAGATTCTGTCGGCGATAGCTCATACTTCATTTTTGGGGTCGACATCTTGTATGAGATTGTATGAGAGTGTAGGATTGTATTGTTGTATGGATGTTGTACGGTTGTACGGTTGGTTGTGTGGTTGTATGATTGTATCGTTGTATGGTTGTACGGGGATAATTATATAAATGTAGTATGTTGGTGACCTCTGAGTGTATCTTAAAGAAGTGATTTCTCAATATCTGAGTGGATCTCAAATCGATGATGGACAAAGTTCAAAAAGAGGTTCTATGCACAATGACTCTGGAGTAAAGGTCGAAGACTTTTGTATTGTGGAGGAAGTTGAATATGGACAAGCTCATAATGATGAAGAGAGAGATGAGATGGCCCACAAGAAGTGAAAGAATGTATGAGTCAAACTAAAAGATTTGACTAATAATACTCGAGTAGAGGGATCGAGTAAGAGATGAGTAGAAGAATAACAAGGATGATTGAAATTGATAGGAGGGGGTGTGGTGGGAATGTGGTGGGAGTGGTAGAAGTTGATGGGAATATTTCGAGGTGGGAGATCTGTCCTCTTTATCATTTGGATCACGGACAATATGGTTAAAGGGGTTATTGGTTATTCAATACCAAAAATGGAAATTAACAGGGAACCAATCATTAAAATAGAAAGGAATGTTTTGGTCTAGACTTTAAAGTTTCTATATGATGTGTACTAAAATTAATTACTCGTAAAGATCTTACTTTACTTAATTAGGTTTAGCTATTATTCACAAATTACTCGTAAAAGATCTTACTTTACTTAATTAGGTTTAGCTATTATTCGTACTTGGAAGTGGCCACAAAACAAGCCTTTTGCCACACAAGTACAACCAAATACAAAACAATATAATAAACACAGCACAGCCCTTTCCAGCTCATAAAGTGGATTCATTCTCATGCCCACCTGCCCCCCTCATTGAACACACACCACACACACGTAACTTCGTAAGGTAAGAAGATCAGGTAAGGAAGGAGAAGTGAGTGATATGGAATAATTAATTAATTAATTAGAAAAGAAGCCAAAGGAAGGATTTATTTGTACAAGTACAATATAACCATTTATCCTAAATGTAGAATATTTATCCAACATTACGAGTAAGGTTATAGTATAAGAAAAAAAAAGCCTTGGAAGAATTACATAAACCTTGATGAGATACGAGTTCAGGGCAAAATACTACTCGAGGAGTACTAGTAACATCAATTATCCTATTAGTAGCTTCGTCATAGGATTTGAACTTGTTACGAGTATTTAGCCTAGGTAATAGATATCATTAGGATGGAAGGTTATATGGAGCCATCGTAGGTAGTAAGTAGTACTGTATACGGAATACCCGTAAATACTTATAATGAATTCACAATTTCATTAAAGAATACAACCACCCCCCACCCCCTTTATTCGACCGGCACAACGCATCATCAAACCATTATGTTTTATTCAAACGATCTATGTATCTATTCAATCAATCCAATCAATCCAATCCAATCAATCCAATCCAATCAATCATTCCAAACCTCCTAACCAGAAACCATCCTCAATAGAAACCGAACATACGGTACGTACCACTACCATTATATAATAAAATTCATACGAGTACTTGTAGAACAAAGGGAACATATTATCATCGAATCGAACGATCTATATATTTATATTAAGTTTCAAGATAACTGGGTACTAGAAAGAAGATTGATTCATTCGTATACGCGGTGGCCCCCCTCCCTTCCTTGTCGATCAGGGGGTTGTGGAATATCCATATCTGTAAGAGATTGATGAATTTGTGAATTTGATCAGTGAGGTGAGGGGGAAGACGTGTGAAGTTGTGAGAGTGAGAGTTTGAGTTGTGTGAAGTTGTGATTGAGTTGTGAGTATTGCGTTGTATGATACTGTGAGGGGGGGTATCAAAGCGAAAGGGATAGGATGGAAGAGTTGAGGTATATTTGGAGTTTCTTGAGGATATATATTTATACTATCTACAGTACTGTACTTGGAACCATTGAGAGTTTATTATCACTAACTCGAATATAATAGCAATTCATTTCTTATAAATAACTTCATCTTACTGATATCTATTTCAGCCCCTCACCCTTCCCCTTCCCCTTCTCCCTTCTCACTCAGCAATTCTATCCACGCCATCTCAGTCAAAATACATTCCTTCCTTCCTTCATCCTTCCATTTCCTCACATCAGAAATAAGATTAATTATTCCATCGATATACTTTTTTAGGGATAACCTCCGGCTTTCTATTTCTTTCTAATAACCGGATATTTATTGATTTTGATGATTACGGAGTATCTATTACGGTATACCGATACCGGTAAAACTAGGTAGGTAGGTAGTATATTGCTAAATTGATTACGGTAACTCGATATAACTCAATTATCTACCTATCCACCATCCATCTACTCATCAATCACTCAGTGATATCTACCTAGTAACCCTAAATTGATCCAAACCTCACTCTATCTTATTCCACTCCATTCTATTCAATACTCTATACCGATTTATAACCAGAGAGCCAACCATCAATCATAATCAGCTCGGATTGCGCAACACAGTTTAGTTTCCGAAACAAAACATAGTGCTAAGCTAAGAGTCGGAGTAGGGTGAGCGGGAAGGCTGGAATTAGGAATTTGGGGATCTCCTTGTATCAAGAAAATATACCTTTGATAAATTCATCATTATAGCCTCGGCTAAACAACTACTGTACAAGTATATCAAGCTCATACCAAATCCAAATCTAAATCCAACTCCAACTCCAACTCCAACACCAAATCCAAATCTAACTCCAACCATCAACTCCAACACCAAATCCAAACACAAACCCAACTTCTCCTGATCCTGATTCTGATTCTGATTTAATTTCCATGCTCGGAACCAAAATATAATAATATAATGCTCTGCTCCACTCCACAACTTCTTCACCACCCATAAATATAATATACCTATCTTATTATCTCCACCTCCCGTGCTCCCCATCTTCATTCTTCATTTTCATTTACCCCCCCTTCATCTAGCCCCCCTTCATCTAGGTATAGCTACGTACTAGCCCTCCCCCTTTGATCGATCTTCACCGCCTACCTACCTACCTACCTACCTACTTGCCTTACCCGGCAATAATTGTTATTATTCCCCTAGGGCCAGGCCTTGGTATGTATGATGTAGGTATCTAGGTAGGTAGTAGACTTAGGTACCTACTATAGTATAGTACTATAATATGCTGTACCGATACAGTATTCCATGAAAGATTTCTGCCTGCCTTATTACCGGTATTGTTTTCCTAGAAAGAATCTAGATTTTGAATGATTATACGAGTAGAGGGGAAATCACAACTCTCCCTCTCTCTCTTCTCTCCTCACTCGAGAAAGAGGGGAACTTCTCTCAAAACCTTACACCGCCCGGCAATAACCTTACACCGCTTACTTACCAGCGAACTACATAGTACTCCACTTCTATTGCCCCTCCAGTCTCCAGAGCCTTCCTTCCAAATTCCAATTGACTTCTCGACTTGTCCAACCCCATCACATCATCACATCAATGATCAATCATTTATGGATTCTGGAAATGGAAAACTAGAACTCTGGAGATTATGCATTACACTCACTGTACAGTACATACATACATAATACATATACTCGAGTACATATACTCGAGTACATATCATCAAATGAAGAATATACATTGCATAAGTACCTATATACCGATCCAGTATCTGTACTGTACGAGTATATCCAATTAAATACTCAAATACCAATACTCTTACTCACCGCATCGCATCGCGTTTACAGTTTTGATATCCATAGTCTAGGTCACATATTAACCTTAGTCCAACATATCAGTTCAACCCCAACATACTTCTTCAAACTCCGACGTAGCATTATATTATCTCCACACTCTCCACAAACGTATGTTTATAACTTTATCAACAGCAGTAGTAAGGTACCACGTCAGTCAATGAGTGACCCTGTGGAATCGTGGATACAGTTTTCTGTTTAGTCTAGGACTCTAGAACTCTAGACTCTGTACCGTAGGAGAGTAGGAGAGTGGGAGAGTGGGAGAAGTGGTGACATGGCATGTTGGCTATGCGGTGTTGATGTGTTGATGTGTTGATGCATGTTTGAGGTATGTACTCGAGTCTCGAGTACTGTATTAAGTTTTAAATTTTAAATTTTAAGTTTTAATGGTATTTAATAGGGTATTGTGTGTTAGTGATTGTCAGTGATAGTCAGTGATAGTCAGTACAAATACCTGTATTCATTAATAATAAAGAGTATTTTGGTATGGTATCATTCATTCATTGGTATACTTACTACATCGGGATACCGGTACTTAGTATGTATGTACTGAGAGATGGAGATGAATACCGTGGATATCCTCTTGTGGAGAACTTGAGACTCGAGAGGGATAGAGCGGAAGTGGGAGTGGAGTGGAAGTGGGGTTTGTATGGGTGAGTGGGATGAGATGGCTGGAAGCCTAGAAGGTAACGTGGAATCATTCGAATGGAGTTGGCGTGAAGCATTTGAGATGTGAAATGTGGATCGCGACTGTATTTCATTGCAGAAACTACTCGAGTACTGAGATGGCATATGTAAGTTTCATCTATCAATTATATACCTAGTATCTATCTACAACACATGTACTCGAGTATACTCGAGTACAGTAATAACAAAGAAGGTTACATACTTACATACCTACCTAGTAGTTATTCCTCTCGCGGACTTCTATCACTTCTATCAAGGTATAGATAAAGATATGAACAAGTGTTCTGCATACCTACCTACTCTCCTCAAGTCTTGAATAAGAACTCCGAACCCGAAAGTTTCTTTCCCTCAATACTCGTACAGTTACTGCTTGGTATCTGATCTATGAGCATACTATATAATATAAACAAACTTCCCATCGAAGAAACATGAACAGTGCTAGGCTATTTTCCAGTGGAAGTACAGTATTAGTATTGCTATCATGACTATGTTTTACTTCTGATTATGAGTATAAGCTACTACTATCTTTAATTGGTATTCCAGTATTTCATATATTTATTTTCATAAAAGTAGACTACAGACTGCAGTGAGGTATGATTCCCTCTAGATGATGAGCAAACCACATCACATCATATCTACAGCCCACTCACTGCCAACACAAAACTCCTACTCCTACTCCTGTCCAGTGATCGATATATTTCATATCATATCAAACAACATCATCACCTTTTTTTATATTTTAAATCTCCATACAGCTAACTAGAATGTGCATATATACATATATATATACATACATATACTCAATCAAACAAGCCCATCAAAAAACTATTGAATTGAATCTCTATTCTATTTTCCCTCTGTGTGGTTGAATGTGAATGGAGCTGTGCAATATGATATTATAGTAAGTAAATAAGTTAAATGAGTAAGTGGAGATGGGATAATATCGAGCTGGATCTAGATCTTATTCTAAATCTAGGGAGGGTTTTCTTTTTACCCAGTTTGGAGTCTTGGGGGATTTGATGTGATGTGATGTGATTTGATTTGAACCGATTAATCGGTTGGATTTTAGATTGTCTTGTAGGTTGTGAATTGTGAGTTGTAAGTTGTGAGTTGTGATTGAATTATATTATATTATATTACATCACCTAAAAGAGCATTTTCAGAGGAGAAAGATTCTCCATTCACGATTCTCATTGTAATTTAATCTATGCATCTTATCTTATTAACACGAGTAAATGATTTTACTCGTAGTATTGAGCATGGGGGGGGTATTATGATGGGTATACTTGAGTACAGTATATGGTAATGAGGTTTGGGAGTTAGATGACAGATGAGAGATGAGAGATGAGAGATAATCGAATAGGTTAGAGAATCATTTCCACATCATTCATACACAACCACATAGAATAGAAAATGCAGATCCAAGGGACCGGGCGGGACCTTATTGGTAGTTTAAACTATCAATTTATATCTCTACTAAACCATATCATATCATATCATACCATGTCAGAGGAAAAACGTGCTACTTATTTATTTACCCTCAATCTATTTCCTGATCAGAAAAATCCTCCTCGTCGGTTTAAACTTTAACGTCTCTTTTCTATACTCGTATAGAAAGACGCATCTTCAAGACTTCAAGTCGTTATTCAAATTTCCCGTAAGGATGTCCCGCAAAGATGAACCATCTATTCCTTTGAAAGCATATCGAATTGATCCTCCTTATCTATTGAAAATGTCATCCCTTCATTTACACCAGCTTACTTACGTACCGTACCGTGCCTACCACGAAGCACCTCTCGATATGACATCGCCAATTGCAAATTACAACATTATACATATACTCCGCTGTAGACGTGTAGACGAGAATGCGTCTGGTTGTTTCGAGGATGGGATTAGCTGTTGAGGTGAGGAACATTGGTAGAACACAGGTATTGATGTCATTCAATAATAAAAATATTTAAGGAAGTATTCTAGGATAGTGAGCGGAACCAACGTCTTGGAAGATATAGAGAAGGTAGAGACTCGTGGGTGGAAATTTGGGAAACATGGAAGAAGGGAGTGAGAATTGTGTTGGCTCAGGATTGCTAAGTGTAAATGGAGATTAGGGAATGGTGTTGGTTGATCGAGGATGATTGTTTGGTTGAAGAAAGTTGAGGGTGTTGATGAGAAGTTTAAGCGAAAGGGGAGCTGAGTTTATGATAGAAATGTCACCATGAGTCAAAGACATGTGCGTTGTCTTTATCATCTCTCCGCAGAGTTCATCTCCGTGTTCTCAAAATTATTTGCATTCTCCTGACTTATATAGGTCTCCGTTTCCCGTTTCACAATCATGCATTCAAATTCACTTGTTCTATATAGACAATTCTTTCGCCGAAAGTCACGAAATTCAATACCTCTCAAGCCAACCCCCCTAGAGGTGAATATCTGTGAGTCAGTAGACAAGCGAATTGAAACCTGAACTACCTCCAAAATTGTAGAGCTCGAGAATTCCGGAAGTTTGAACCTGTTATTCATAGACCGTAGAAGAATATATATGTCCGATTGCTTTTCATTGAGTAGTAGATCACTGACTTTAAGGAGTTATTCGCTTCATGAAATTCATCAAACTTTTGTTCTGGTTGATCACTAGATGTTGGGAAGAGAGCTAGTCTTGAAACTCAGTATCAGAGTCACTTGAAATCAAGTGAAATATTTGTTGTGACAAATACGATCCCTGTTACGCACTAGCGTGAATAATGAAGTCATAATCGATGGGTTCCTGTAAAGTCTTACGGTGGGTAGACAGATCATATCCTGCCGTACAAGAAAATGGTGAGTAATGACAGGAAATCAAAAATGTTATTCAAGCAAACTTATCACTCATAAGTTTGTTCAATGACAACCTCAAGAGATTCAGAACTTGTCTTTACGAACGTGGAGAGGAATACATATAATTGGTGATTCTTGACGACAGATGTAAAGACCTTCTTTAAAACACACATAAGTTGTATTTCGAATATTCGACTACTATCAGAATAATCGCATCGAACATTTATTCGATTTCAAACTACAAAGAAAGACGATGGCTTCAAATGTCATCCTTTGCTGTGTTGCGACTCAGGCCCCGAGGGAGCATCTATCCATCCTCCTTTCTGTCTTCCTCACGGCCTTAGAAGCTCGTATCCGGCTGAACAAACCCTTTTCATTTCCTGCGGGTGGCACGCCAAGAGAATCGGAACCGATCATCGAACTCCAGGAAATCAAAAAGGATGACACTATGCAACCTGAATACAATAGCCGCTACTTCATGCTGACCGGAAATCTGAAGGAAAATAGAGCCTACATTGAGATGTATCCAGGTGAGAGCTTTGTGGAGCTAAAACTTGAAGCAGTGGAACGATGGAAAATGAAATATGAGCTGTGGTGGAGTATGGATAACATCACCGATGAGAGAGTGAAATGGAGATGTAGCAGTTGTAAATGCTCGTATACTGTTAGAACATTGAGGGAAGCGAAAGTGGAGTGTAAATAGTACCACTTGGTCAAGAAAATGTAAGCTTTCAACCACATAATATAATTTGATCGACAATAACACCAATATTCAGTTCTTTAAAGGATGGACCATTTGTACCAGCGGTCGACACAATGACAGCTATATCATCATGGCGTCACTAAACGCAAACCCCTTTCCAATTCATAACTACAGCAATGCTTTTTCTTGAATTCTACCGCTCCTCTCCGAGATATCGTTGGCATCTAAACTTATGTTGAACTATACTGGTAAGCTTGTTAGAGTATGCTGTTAGACAGAAACTGCATGATTTTGAAAGAGAGTTACCCATTACCCAGGAAGAGAGCATCAATGGGAGTCGAGTCGTAGTTCTAGTTCAGATGTGCCACTGATCACAAGGGAGAGAGTCAGAGAGTCTGGAGGGGATCAAACAATACTCTTGTTCTAGAATACAGCACCAAAAAAAATCAAAATACCGTACAAGTCTTTCACAGACGATTGAATTATTAAGCTGTGGTTGTGTTTTGAAATGGCAGTGGTTTATATACCCTGTATTAAAATATCCCGAGGTAACTCAGCGGCGCGCGATAAGCCCGATAACAGCCTACCCGCGCTAAAACATTCATGATGAAGCTCTCCTCCTAAAATTCATATTTCCAAAAACGATCCACAAGATAATATTCAGACTTTATAATGGGCAAAGGTTAGTCGCAATACCCCTTGGATCAAATTATCAGAACCAAGCTAAATTACTTCTCTAACAGGCACGGATAAACTATACGTGCGCTTCCAGACTACCAATCTCAAGTTTTCCCTTATGCTAATCTTCATATGATATCTAGATCACCCATTCTGAATGGTCCTCCACCGACGCATTTTCTGCTAATAGTGGATCCAATGTTTCCCAAAAAGCCCCCAATGGCTCATTCAAGCGCCTCCCTTTCAACTTCTGCGCAGCGAGTCTTCAACCCTTCAAAAATCCAGTCTGTACAGCTGAAGGCACCATATTCGATGTTGAAATCATTTCGCAATGGCTCGAGAAGCATGGCACGAACCCTGTCAATGGGGAACCATTGAGGTCGAAAGATTTGATAAAATTGAACTTTGCGCGGAACGGCGACACTGATGCGCAGGAACGAGGTTTTGGTGGTGCTGGAGGAGATGGAAAGGGCGAGATGGTGGATCCAGTCACTTTCAAGGTGTTTACAGATAATACGCATATCGTTGCTATACGGCATGGCAGTGAGGCCAACGTTTTTGCTTGGGAGACCGTCGAAAGATTGAACATCAAAGCGAAGATGTGGTTAGATTTAGTTGATGATCGCGAATTTGGGAGGTCGGATATCATTACGCTACAAGATCCGCAGAACATTGAAAGCCGAGATCTCAGCAAGTTCAAATTTTTAAAGGAAGGGGAATCTGTGCTGAGCAAAGAGCAAGAAGAAGAGAGGTCGAAAGGTAGTGTCAACATTCACGCGCTGGGTAGGGTGGGAGACAAAGTCCTGAGGGCAAAGGAAGCTGTCGAGAAAGCCAGAAGAGACAGAGAAGCTGGTGGAGATGTTAATCGCGCAAACTCAATGGTCAAACAAGGATCGACAACTTCAACGGCAAAGCCTTCATTATTACAAGAAAGGAAGACGGCCTACAATGCCGCGCAATACACAACAGGAAGAGCAGCCGCAAGTTTTACGAGTACGGGATTGACTCCAGTGACTAGTGGAGAGAGGGCAATTCTCACCGACGAAGAATATATGCTGAAGCCGAAACGAGTCAAGATAAAAGGATATGCCAGGATCGAGACGAATCTGGGATCATTAAACATCGAACTACAAACCGAGACTGCTCCTCGCGCAGTATGGAACTTTGTACAACTCGCCAAAAAGGGGTACTATAATGGTGTTGCATTTCACAGAAATATCCGGAATTTTATGATTCAAGGAGGTGATCCTAGCGGGTCTGGCAAAGGAGGCTCAAGTATCTGGGGGAAGAACTTCCAGGATGAATTTGACGGGCCATTAACCCACGATTCCAAAGGTGTGATGAGTATGGCAAACAAGGGCAAAAACACCAATTCGAGTCAATTTTTCATTACCTACAAAGAAGCCAAACATCTAGACCGCAAACACACAATTTTCGGCCGCGTAGTTGGTGGCCTGGACGTCCTCTCCAAACTCGAAAAAGTCGAAGTAGACGAGAAAAGTCGCCCGATAAACGATATCGTCATGGAGAACGTCGTCGTCTTCGTAGATCCCTTTGAAGAATTCCAAAAGCAGAAACAGGAGAAGGATGTCGCGGAGAAAGCACAGGCGGAGATTAGGAGGCAGGGAGGCACCGAAGATGATAAGACGACGTGGACGGGTAAACGTATTAGGGGTGATGGGACGGTGATGCAGAGTGAGCAGACGGGTGGCGTAGGCAAATATCTTAAGGCTGGGGGTACGAATGATGGGGCGGGGTTTGTGGAATTGGATGAGGGTGGTGATGATGCGCCGGTTAAGAAGAAAATTAAGTCGGGCGGCTTTGGAAATTTTGATGCTTGGTAGTGTAGTGTAGTGTGGTGGTGGTGGGATAGATGTTTTATGTTTATATTGTAATAATATGTTGAAATTTCCCCTGATTTACTGTGTACAACCGAGTTACATTTCTCGGTAAAGGAATTCGCAGTCTGGATTGGGACTTCATATCAATGTCTATAACTATCAAGTAGAATATCAGATATCAGATTCCTATGATCATAAGATGGCCTCCATGTGTGGAAATACCTGACTTGATAATTGATAATTTTGGAGGATAAGTATTTAAAATACGGGCGGGTATGTGGGTGAAATACATCAAGAGATGTGATGAGATGTGATGAGATGTGATGATTTTGAGACTGGACCGGAGCTGGAACTGGAACTGGAACTGGAACTGGAACTGGAACTGGAACTGGAACTGGAACTGGAACTGGAATTGGAATTGGGACTGGAACTGGGACTGGAATTGGAATTGGAATTAAGCTGTGAATGGATGTAGGTATGTATGTATATATTTGCAATTGTAATTGTAATTTACCATGATTTTATACTCATTTTTTGGATTTTACTTATGTGATTTACTTCACTGTGCTGTGCTGTACCTATGACTATAACTATGACTATGGATGGGCCTTGATGGTGGACTTTGTAGTGAGTTGGTTGATGATGCAGCAATTTACTCTATAGTATAGTGTGTGGTAGCTGCGGCTTACAGATGGCTAGGAGTTACGTGGGGTTCACATGGACAGTTCAGAAGTTAAAAAGTGAACGAGTATGTATTGACTGTCGAGGTCTATTCTCATGATGCATATCTACTGGATGTTATGTATGTTATGTATGTCGTTGTATCGACCTATTTCCCACCTATCCCCATCCCCATCCCCATCCCATACCGTATGTGCCAAGTGATCTGTAAGTCACCATTGGATGTTCTAGACTTTAGACGCCCTTACTGTATACCATGATCTGAAAACCTCAAAAACGCCATCCACAATTTTGGTACAATCTCCCTCCCCACTTTTCTAATCTAGCGCTTCATGAAAGAGTAGTCGTTCAACAAGTGTGCCATGTGAGTGTTTGTGGTTCGACCGCCCTTTCTTGGAGCCTTTCTCTTCTTGTCTTTCGGCTTTGGAGCTGCTTTGACACGCTTGCTTGGATCTTCACTAGCAGGCTTTTGACCAGCCTCAAGAAGCTTGCGAACGAGGTCGTCGACACTGGGAAGCTCCGTCTTATGCCACATGACCTGAAAGTCGGATTCGACGGGGTGTATCAAGGTAGGGTCGTTGATCCAGACCATTCGTGCATGATTGTCCTTCTTTGTCCTTGTAACCAAAATCTTATTTTCCCCTTCCAACTCGTTGATCGCATCTTCGCAATCTGGCCAGCCATCTTTCAGATCCTTAACACTTATTCCTTGGGCGTCAGGTTTATTTTGAAGATATGATAACAAGGCTCCCTTGTTGCGAACACCGATGATGGGGCGATGTTTGAAGGTACCAGAATCCCAAATTTGTGTCTTTAGCTTAGGATCTGGGATCCATTGAACTCGATCGTGTCTTCTGAGAATTTGTGCAATGAGTTGTTTCTTGCTCTGCTCAATATGGGCCTGACTCAAATATCCCAGAATTTCCTGGAAACTTTTTGGCTCGTCTTTCTTTTTCAAGAACTCGATGACGTAGGTGACTTGCGTAAATGCTTCTGTTCCATAACCCGTAGCAGCAGGTTGAGAATAAACGACATTCATCGGCTCTCTCTTGCGCTTAGTAGTATCTTTGTTCTCGTTCTTGGATGCATTTGAGGTGTTTGATGGAGCTGGTGACGGTACAGAAACTGATGCTGCAGCGGGGCGCTTGCTCGTAATCTTCGTTGAAGTATTCTTGATACCTTTCAGGAAGGCTGCCTGTTGCTTTTCAAGGAATGAAGACATGATCGCGCTTGGAGATGTCGGATTTCTCGAGGGGTATTGATAAAACTAGATTCGAAGAAGTCTTTTAAAATCCAGGTCTAAAGGTAACGGCACAGTAATTTGCAGGTCGTTTAGGTGACGTCGGGGCCTAAGTTTTAGGAGCGTCAATATCAACCAACTACCAGATGTGTACCACATACAACAGCTGAATAATTCAGTATTCAGTCAAAGTCAAAGTCAAAGTCAAGAAGTTAGGGAAACTTGATTGAGGGTGGTGGATGTCGCAACTCTTGGCAGGGAGTTTTGACAATGGGACAAAGAAATCACCTAGGCACCTATTATTATATTATTATTTAGATGAGGCTGAGAGATTATATGTAGAAGTCCAAGCTCAAGCTAAAGGATTTCACCCATTCACGTCACTCAAATTTAAAGGTTTGTGAGTTATTAGTCAGCGTCTTCCCATCCCCCCAAATCCTGAATGCAACAAGCTTTCAAAGACTCTATTCACGAAATCGACAACACCGCGATTTGACCATCGTAGGTACTTCGATACGAGAGCCATAATATATTCATTCATTCGAGATTTTGCTATGTTCCCATACTAAACGGCAAGAATTTCGGATATACTATTTAATACTGAATCTTTACGATAAGATTTCGGTCGACTTTGTTACTTTCACCTTCACTTCATTTTCACACAGTAACGCGATCAACACAAATTCCCAAACCACCCTTTCCAAATGGTCCTCTGCCAAACAGAACATTAAATTGTCTGAAGGAACGTTTTCAGGATGGCGAGTGCGGTACTCGATGTCGACTATTTGTCGGCGTATTTGAGCGTACCGCAACAAACACTTAGCACAGTTGTCGATAATCCTACCGCAGAATTAGTTCGAAGCGTGCTTGAAGCTGTCACCGCGAAGGCACGGGAGCATGATGAATTGGCGGCAGACAAATTGCGAGTCGATATTGAACTTGAGAATGCCGTGAGAAGTTCAGAGACGCGCATTGAAGGACTTCGATCAAGTGTAGAAAAGGCGCAGAAAACTGTGGAAGAGCTGAGGACTAAGCTCAATGAGGAGGGTAAGAAGAAGTTATTCGAATCTTGTGGTATTATAATGTGATGCTGATACACCTTCAGAAAATTCAAGGTCATCTCTCGAGAGTGAACTTCAAACCTTGAAGTCCACTTCCTCGACATCGACATCCGAGTTGGAAACTTTAAGATCTCGAATTTCATCGCTCGAATCCTCCAATCGCGACGCACTAGCCGTCATTGAGTCAAAGACGACTGCCAATGGGGCTCTTGCACAAGATCTACAGAAGCAACATCAAAAAGGATTGGAACTCAGTCAACAAATTACCGCTTTACAACAATCCGTTCAAAACGCCAACTCTGCGGCATCTAGCGCTAAATTCCGAGAACAGTCCTTGAAGCAGGAGGTCGAGCTAGCGAAGCGCAACAATGAATGGTTTGAAAATGAATTGAAGACCAAGAGCGCCGAGGCCTTGAAGTTTCGCAAAGAGAAGGGTACACGAATTGCGGAGTTGCAGCGTCTAAACGAAGAGTCCACTTCCAATGTCGAGTCTCTGAGACGTACCGAACAAGCTCTACGAATCAGGTTGGACGAAGTACAAAAGAAGGCTGAGGATTCACTTCACAAGATTCAACAACTTCAAGAGGCAGCTGCAAAGACCGAGGAAGGGTTCCGCCAGGAACTAGAAAGCGCACGCCGTCTCGCCGAACTGCAAGCCCAACAAACCGAGACGCATCGACAGAGATTAAAGGATGTCGAGGGAGGAGTAGAAAAGATCAAAGATGATGCCGCCGAGGAGATTGGTAGATGTCAACAAGAAGCCGAAGCAGAGCGTCAAGAACGAGAACAGGCAGAGCACCGCATTGCAGAACTTGAAGCCGAGATTGATCGACTCGAAGCCCTTGGATCCGCACAGCCTCGCCCTGGCTCAATACCATCAACTCCACAACGAGGTCTGAATGGCTCTATGTTTGGAAGATCTGGTTCACCTGCTCAATTTGGCACACCCGGTTCTTTGCGCAGTAAGTCTGCTATCACGGCTACCCAAGCTATTGATGAGTTGTACAAAGTCAAGGGCCTATTGGCTACGGAGAAGAGACGAAGTGAACGACTTGCGGCTGAAATGGAGGAAATGATGCAAGGGCTCGAAGCAAAACAACCCGAGCTCGAAGAAATGCAAGCCGAGCATGAACGTCTCCAACAGGAGGTGGTGGAGATGTCGAAGTTTGTCGATCAAACTGGCAAGGAGCGTGATCGAGCCAAGAAGGACGTCAGGAAGGCAGAAAGTGAGGCATCTACCGCACAAGCAGAGGTGAACATTCTTCGCCGACAACTCAGAGATCTCAGCGCTCAAATCAAGATGCTTCTATGCGATCTAGATGTAAAAGAAAGGGGACTAAATGCTCTGAGTGGAACGGAACGAGCACAACTCGAACGTCTAGCGCGAGGAGAGGTTAGCGAAGATTCATTGGAAGGAATGACTGACACGGATCGATTTATCAGTCAAAGACTTACCGTTTTCCGCAGCATTAGCGAATTGCAAGAAAAGAACCAAGAGTTGCTCAAGATTACGAGAGAACTGGGCCAGAAGATGGAAAGCGAAGAAGCCCTCGCCGCCAAGAATCAAGCCGTTCAAGACCACGAAGAAGTACAAGCCCTCCAGGTCAAGGTTGAGGATTTGAAGGATGAGTTAAGATCCATGATCACTCGTTCAGAAAGTTATATCAAGGAGAGAGATATGTTCCGCCGTATGCTTCAACACCGAGGACAACTACCAGCCAACTCCGATCTTGCATCCATGTTTGGTCAATCGGTCGACGGCAATGGTGCCATGTCAACAATTGAAAATCCAAACCAAAAAGACAACGCCAATTATGCGGCTTTACTACGCGAATTACAAGGTCACTTTGATCAATACCGGGAAGAACAAACTGTTGACCGACGCACGTTAAGAGAGCAAACAGAACGACTATCATTAGAAAAGGGCGCGCTTCAAGCAGAAATTTCAAAGACGAGCAGCCAATTGACCCTGGCCAACGAACGCTACGAAATGTTGCACTCCAACTACACATTATTGCAGAGTGAGAATAGCGAGCTACAGAAACGCTCACAGATTCTTTCTGAGGCTGCTGCCAAGCAGGATTTGCGGACACAGCAAGTAGCCGAGGATTTGATTGAAGCTAAGGGATTGGTGGAGAGTATGCGAAATGAGACTGCCAATCTCAAGGCCGAGAAGAAGCTTTGGAGAGACATCCAGGATCGCCTCAGCCAGGACAACGAAAGTCTAACCAACGAACGCAGTAGACTCAACACCCTCATTGCCAATCAACAAACCCTGCAGAACGAACGCGAATTATCTGAATCCGAGACGAGAAGAAGACTCCAAACCCAAGTAGAGTCTTTGGAATCAGAATTGAACTCCACAAAGCGGAAGCTTAATGATGAAGTTGAAGAGAGTAAGAAAGCTCAGTTGAGAAAGGAGTACGATTCCCAGCAAAATCAGAAGCGAATCGACGAACTTGCAACGAATTTGAGCCAGGCTAGGGAGGAGCTTGTTGCTGCACAGACATCACGCGATCATCTCCAAGCCCGGGTAGATGAGCTGCATATCGAGCTGAGGAGTGCAGAGGAACGAGTTGAGCTATTGCACCCAAGACCCACACCACGACTAGGCGCTAATAGTCAAAATGCTGATGGAGAAGATGCAAATGCCGAAGACGAGTCTCTAAGTCGTGAACAAGAACTGGGAATCGAGCTTTCTGAATTAAAGAGAGATCTAGAATTAGCGAAATCGGAGCTCGAAAATGCAAAGCATCAAGCAGAGCAGTATAAGTCCATCAGCCAATCGTCTGAGGAGGAGCTACAGAGTCTCAATGCGACACTGGACGAATGCCGCGATGAGATGGACAAGATCATCGAGGAGAAAGATGCAAAGATTCGCGAACTTCAGCAACGAACCGAAGATATCTCTGCCGAGCTTACCAATTCAAACAATGAGTTGACGACCCTTCGAAATCAACAAGGGGAAGTAGCTAGGCAGGCCGAGGAAGAGAAATCAGGGCTCGAGGCAGAGATTTTACGTTTGAAGGATGAGCAGGAGAAGCATTCTACAACTGCAAAATTCCATCAAGAAGACCTTCGCGCGCAAGCAGCAATTGCCACCAAAGCCCAACAAGACTACGAGAATGAACTTGTCAAGCATGCCGATGCTGCTAAACATCTCCAAATCCTACGCGTCGATTATAATGAACTCAAGTCCGAATCGGCGACCTTGAAAGCGGAAGCTGAATCTGCCAAGGTAACTTTGAATCAAAGCGAAGCCTCTTGGGAGGAACGACGTGAACAATTCGAACGGGAACTAAATGAGCTGAAAGCTAGGCGAGACGATGTCAATGCACAGAACAAGCTTCTGCACCAGCAATTAGATAATGTTTCGTCACAAATAATCGCTTTGCAACAGACACGCTCTACTGCCCCTGATGCATCAGAAGCTGGATCGCCAGCTGCGGAGGGAACAGCAGACCGTACTGTAGAAGGTCTGCGAGAGTTGAACACTTATTTGAGACGCGAAAAGGAGATCGGGGAGGTTCAATATGACATCAAGATTCAAGAAGCCAAACGACTACAACAACAACTTGAATACACCCAAGCTCAACTTGATGAGGCCAGACTGAAGCTTGACCAGGAGCGACGCTCTCATGCTGATGGTGGTAAAACCTCCATTGCACACAAAGATCTCATGGACAAACTCAATGAGCTCAACCTTTTCCGTGAAAGCAGCATCACTTTACGCAACGAGGCACGTCAAGCTCAATCTCAACTTGCGGACAAGACCAAGCGTGTTGACGAGCTTCTGGCGCAAATTCAACCCTTGGAAACAAAGGTTCGTGAATTGGAACACGGCAAAGAAACAATGGAGGGTGAGATGCATTTGCTTCAGGAAGACCGTGACCGTTGGCAGAAACGTAACCAAGATATACTCTCCAAGTACAATCGAATCGACCCTGCTGAGATGGAAAAAATGAAAGAGGCCATTGAGACTTTGCGAAGCGAGAGAGACGCCTTACTAGAGGGTCAACAGCCCTTGCAAGAGAAGGTACAAACTTTGGAGAGTAGTATGGAGAACGACAGAGCCCAATGGCAATCTACCCGACAAAAGCTAATTGACCAAGCCAAGGAGAGGAACCGCACCCTAACTAAGGATAGGAACGATCGAGCCGCAGAAAGAGATGTGGCCATCTCCGAGAGGGAATCGCTTCAAGAACAGCTCACTTCTCTCCAACAGCAACTCCAGACTGCTGTGGAAGAAAGGGAAGTAGCAGAAACTAAGCTTGCGGAAGTGGAGCAAGAATTGGAAGAAATTAAGACTCAGCGTGACCAAGCATTGGCGAATGCTGTTCAGTCTGTTGCATCCCCTAAGACCCCCCCTGCACCTCCCGCAGCTGGATCGGAGAGTAACGAAGCTTTCAATGCACAGCTTGTCGAACTTCGTAAGGAACGTGATCAGGCAGTTCTTGAGAAGCAAGCCCTCCAAGAACAGATCACAGAACTCAAGCAGCAGCTTGAAACGGCCAATTCCGAAAGGGATGGTGCTATTGCCGCTGCTGCCGAAGCACGATTACAGCAAAAAGCTCAACCATCTGATTCCCCAATGGACGATGGTGCCGAGGAGGGACAGATTGACGAGAGTCAAGCTGGTGGTATTTCAGAGGAGGAGAGAAAAGCCTTGGAAGCACGTATAGCTGTTGCTGAAACAATGGCCAAGGAGCGTGGTGAGAAGGCAAAGGAAATCGAAGAATCTATGGAAGCCACACTCAAACAACGCTCCGACAAGATGAAGGCAGCTTTGAACAAGAAACTCGGCGAATCCAAGGAAGCGGTCCGGGTTCAACTCGAGGCTGATTTCAAGTTGAAATTAGAGCAAGAGAAGCAAATTTGGCTTGCAGAGAACAGAGCTGTTGATTCTTCGGCCCCACCACCTACACCCTCTGCGCCCAAGGTAGAATTGAATATTGTTCCAATCACACCCGCGACCCCAAGTAAGATTGCTGCACCATCGGTGGATGGTACAGATCTTTCGGATGACCAAGTTCGACATCTTCTGTCAACAAACCCAACGATCAAGAGTATCCTTGCCAATAATCTGAAGAAGCTTCTTGAAAAAGAAACGCAGAAACTCAAAACGGAACAAGACAAATTAGTGACCGAAAAACTCACCGAAGCGCAGAAAACAGCCGAGACTGCTTTGACCGAAGCTCAAGCAAAGGCCGACCACACTCAAGCTCAAGCTGTTTTGATGGCAGAGAAAAAATCCTCGTTGAAACTCAATATGCTTGAGAACAGAACCAGAATAGCTGCTGCAAAGATTGGAGTTGTTGAGAAGGCTGCAAAGGACACCCCAGAGAAGCCTGTTGGTGAGGTATGGGAGATTGCTAAGGATGCCAAACCACCCCCTCCAGCACCAGCTGCTCCAGCGTCAACACCAACTCCTACTGTTGCAGTGGCTCAGGCTCCATCGGCCAATACTACAACCGCTGCAGTGCCACCTTCGAATGTTCCCGGCACCCAATCTAACAGCGCACCTGCAGACGATAAGAAAACCGAGGAGACCGAAGTCCCAAAGAGCAGTATACCTCTAGGACCACGTCCAATTACCCCGTCAACAACAAATGGGGCATCTTCACTGCCTGTCAGTAATATACCTTCTGTAAGTAACCCCTTACAACCTTTTACATCCAATACTAATGAAATGCAGGCTCCTCAAGCAGGAAATCAGTCACGACTACCACAAATGCGTGGCGGTAATCAAAATCGCGGAGGGGGAGGTGGTCGTGGAGGAACTTATCAGCCACGTGGAGGCCCCACGGGTAGGGGAAGAGGCAATGTTACAGGGCAACAGGGGGGAATGAACGCAGGCGCTCAAAGTTTTAGTCCGAACGCACAGTCTGGACAAAAGAGACCTGTGCCAGAAGGTGGCCAGCAGGGTAATGGAGGAAAACGTCCTAGGGGAGGATTAGGAAGTAATTAGTTGACTGACACATGATGGACTGCATTTGCATGTATTATATTTCAGGGTTGCACAGCCACAGCTTGGCCTTTTTTGATGTTAGTGTGGGAGTTACGGAAAACATGTACGAAGAATAGTAGCGATACCCATGATGACCATGGAGGCAATGAATATTAGGAGGACAGGAGAATTCAAAAGGATATCATTGATATTTCGACAAATTGCTAGGAAGAAGCTTTCTAAGCACATCCACATGCCGACCGATCATTTTCATCTTGAGGGCCTCCACACCACTTTTATCTATCCTGCGCAGCCCATTTCCATATATCACCGTATAATCTGGAATGATCTCGTCTTCCGCAACCTCACACATTGATCCAATCTTGCAATGCTATATAAAAACTGTCAGCATCTCATATATTGTCAGTTATACATACGAAATGCGAGATGTGTACCTTTCCTATGACAGCTCCTCTTCCCACCTTCGCTTTGATCTCAATAAGACTGCCCTGACCCACCAATTTCGCCTCAACAACAGCCCCAGTTTCTATTATAACGCCGTTCTCTAACACGACTCCTTGGACCTGCTCCTCAGATGGAAAGTTCGACATGCCAATCGTGCTGCGCTCACCAATAACACATTGGGTACCGATTGTGATGGGCGCAAAACTGCTGTTTAATCTTGCGCGTGGATGCAGAACAGTATGTCCCCGGATGGTGATGAGATATGTGCCGTAAAGAAGGGCATGGTCGGCGATTGTGATATTGGTTGAAAAGGAAGTCGGGGGTTTAGGAGGTGGAGGAAGCATAGAAGCTCGTTTGCTGGAGGACATGATGTTCGGTATATAGGCTCAATGTAGGTATTCGATACTGGCAGATACTGGCAAACGCTGACCAATTATTCGTTGTATTGGCAAACCCGAATACGAATTCGAACTTTGCGGCCGAAGCTGTAATATCTGCTAGACTAGATAGAGGTCAATAGAAATGCTGTAAGTGTTTGTACCTGAGTGTATAGCAAAAGTGTCAGATATCAGAATGGGCAGCTTTCATCAGTTTTAGCCGCTTACTTCTATGATATCTCTACGATTTGTAAAGCTCAAGGACCGCCAGTTTATTTGGCAACTAGAGGTCTAAAAGACGATTGATATTAAAGTACCGGGTTGTTGAAGTATGAGCAGTAGCGATAGATGGCACTACTGAACGGGATAACAAAACTAGAAGTTCCAGATTTGTACTATCGACGGAAGTTTTCGGCTATCGCCACCATTTGGAAGCTTTGTCAGTTTCAACCAATCAAACATTCATGATTTCGATGATTTCGATGATGACTTGAACTTATTCATGAATATTTACAACCTCAACTTCCCCCCAATCTGAATCCTCTCCACTCACTATCACAAGTACGCTCAATTGGGCACAATATACATATCGAAAATGCTTTCGCGAAATGCGCCGTCGACAAAAGTAGCCTCAAAACTCTCCACCCGAATCCTATCTTCCACCACAGCACGATTACCGTCCTCGATCCCTTCGATACATCAATGTAGAGGGCTTGCCACAGTAGCAGATACGCCACCTCCTCCACCTCCACCAAAGAAGACACAATGGGGTGGATTAAGGGATCAAGATAGAATTTTTCAGAATTTGTATGGGCATCATGGGGCAGATCTGGCGAGTGCGAAAAAATATGGTGATTGGCACAGAACGAAGGATATTCTTGCAAAGGGTCATGACTGGGTATGTCAGAAAGATTGAAATAATATGACGAATGAGAGTTGACAATTGGAGTAGATTATATCCCAAATCAAGGCTTCAGGTTTAAGAGGTCGCGGTGGCGCTGGATTCCCCTCTGGTATGAAATGGGTATGTTTGATGTTTCACGGAACAAATCATTAAAGCTAAACTACGATAGTCGTTTATGAACTTCAAAGGTTGGGAAAACGACAACAAGCCAAGATATCTTGTTGTCAACGCAGATGAGGGCGAGCCTGGAACTTGCAAGGACAGAGAGATTATGCGAAAAGACCCTCACAAACTCATCGAAGGATGTCTGGTAGCAGGCCGAGCAATGAACTGCACAGCAGCATACATTTACATTCGTGGCGAATTCTACCACGAAGCTACAGTTTTACAGCGTGCGATACAAGAAGCGTACAAGGATGGATTAATTGGAAAGAACGCTTGCGGCAGTGGATATGATTTTGACGTCTATGTTCACCGTGGAATGGGAGCATACGTCTGTGGTGAGGAGACATCTTTGATTGAGTCGCTCGAGGGTAAGCCAGGAAAACCTCGTCTTAAGCCACCCTTCCCTGCCTCCGTCGGTCTTTTCGGATGTCCTTCAACTGTGGCGAACGTCGAGACTATCGCTGTTGCACCAACAATTTGCCGAAGAGGAGGAGACTGGTTCGCTTCCTTTGGTCGAGAGCGTAATGCTGGTACCAAGCTCTTCTGTATTTCTGGTCATGTCAACAACCCATGTACCGTCGAAGAGGAGATGAGTATCCCTCTTAGAGAACTTATTGACAAACACTGCGGTGGTGTTCGAGGAGGATGGGACAACCTCAAAGCTATTATTCCTGGAGGATCATCTACACCAATCTTACCAAAGGGCGTTTGTGACGACCAATTAATGGACTTTGATGCGTTAAAGGACAGCCAGTCTGGTCTCGGAACGGCAGCAGTTATTGTGATGGACCAGAGTACTGATGTTGTTCGTGCCATCTCGAGATTGAGTCATTTCTATCGACACGAATCCTGTGGTCAATGCACACCATGCAGAGAAGGTAGCAAGTGGACTGAGCAGATTATGAAGAGATTTGAGAAGGGTCAGGGTAAAATACGTGAGATTGATATGTTGCAAGAACTTACAAAGCAAGTTGAGGGTCACACCATTTGTGGTATGTATACAACCTTCCTACAATATAACGAATTGTGCTAATTAATATCTATAGCTCTCGGAGAGGCCTTCGCATGGCCTATTCAAGGTCTTATTAGACATTTCAGACCAGAATTGGAGGCACGTATGAAGGATTATGCTGAGAAGAATGGAGGAGAGCCGTTGGCAGGTGGTTGGGACAATAATGCATTGCAACAAGGTAAACTTATTTCACCTGGGCAATAGATTTCGGAGCGGAGCATGGAATGGTAGATTGTTCATAGGGCAGTTATAAATGTATTTATTGATGTTAAGCATGGGTGCTTTTTTTCAATGGCAAACAATTATTTTAGTTTATTTGATGTTCTCGGTACTGATAGATTTGGCGTGAATGTCGTATATTTGAATATTCTACACAACACCTAGTTATTAATGATCATAACATTTTTGATATCGAAAGACAGGAGGTAGCATAGGTAGGTTATTAGATATCTCTAGGAAACACATTCCTCGCTAAGCGACTTTATTTTACAGTAGATGTTGGATGCCACCTCACTTTATTGAAGTGTGTTTTTTTTTTCTCCACAAAGAACTTCGACTAGTCAGTCATCAAAATTTCAATAACACGAGGAGTCACAAAGAGTTGGTTGGTATTTGTTTGTAGAGTGGTACTGTAAGAGGCTAAGGTGGGATTGGATTTTGTTTATATATTTATACTCAGTATATGAGAAGAGAAGAGAAGACTGTAAGAAGACTAAGAAGACTGCAACTTGCATTTTAATTTTACTCTGCCTTTGGGTTGGGATTTCTTGTACTCGAGTAGATTCATTTCTTGGGTATTTGATGATACTACAGTATAAGTGTAGAGAATTAGAATATCGGTTGTTTATATTTACGGTGGGTGGATTACTACGAAGTACGAAGAGATAGAGAAAGAGATAGAGAGATAGATAAACAAAATGGGCGTCTTAAAACAAGCAGTAGATTTTGCTTCGGATGCTGGTAAGTTCTTCTTTCACATACGGAGTACACCTCTTATTTCCCCCCGTTGCTGCTTCCTCCCATATCCTACTGAGCATAATGATGGTGTGTAGCTAACATTCACAAAAGCCGGGCTTGAAAAAACTCTAAGGTTCATCCAGGCTTGGTGTCAGATCTTTGCCTTTTATCCGTGGGTTTTGGGGGAAGTGTTGGGGGAGTGGGGGTGGAGGTTAGGGATGGGGTTGGGGTTGGGGTTGGGGATCGATGAGAATGGGATTGGGATTGGGAATGAGGAGAAGGTTGGGGAGGCTGTGCAGGGGTTATTGAGGACGAGGAGGGAGGTCGCTGTTGGTGTGTATTCCTTTTTCTTTCTTTTGGGAGAGTTTTGGTGTTTTTAGGGGGTGAGAGCATTTATAAGATATTTCTAGCTCAAAGTCGAGCTTGGAAGATTCAAGCGAATATCCATCTATCCATTCACAAATCCAAATCAGGAGCAAAACAACAACATGAATAAAGTCTAGCCTCCAAACTAATCAAACATCATCTACACAGGCCGTCGCTACCTACGCTTTTTACGCTTCATCGATCATTTCTCAAGAGCATGGACTAGTTTCCATTCTGAGAAGGGGGTTCGGATGTTGATTGGAGTAGGCAAATCGGGGTTTATGGGTTTATATTTGGGATGTGAGTTTCTTTCTTTTTTCATCATCCTCTTTTCTGTCTTCTTATTTTCATATCTTATTGTCAAGAAATATAAATATCATATGAAAAGTCAACTAACAATATACTTAATAGTGGAAAGTCTCACAATCGTACGTACCATACCCACACCCATCCATACCTTACTCCTCGCCTCAACAGGCACGAGACTTCGCGTCGAGAAGCGTATAGTATGTATCCAAAAAGTGAACTCAAATACTAATCCATACATCCCTTACAAATAGTTAGATATGATGGGTATATACCACACGCCCTGGTCCGCAACCTGTACTCTCGAAGGACATAAATTCTGGTTCTATTCGCTGTGCTTATCAATCCTGGGGGGTATCTTCGATCTATTCGAATTATTCAATCTTGACCACTCTAGCACCACACCCCCATCATCAAACTCAAAATCAGCAAAAAACAAAACAAACCCAAACCCAAACACAGACCACCAAGAAAAAAAGAAACAACAACCCGAAATTCAGAAACAGAAACAGCAGAAAACCCAAACACAAATAATTCTCAAAATAATCGAGAATGCAGCAGATCTATTGATTCCAGGAGCGGTCACGGGATGGATAATAAGTGATGCGGGAGTAGTGGGGGTGGCGACGGTGGTGAGTACGGTTTTGAGTTCAGGGGAGATTTGGAGGAGGGTTGGGGATGGAGATGCATAGGGGATGCATACGGGATGTATATGTATATGGAAAGGGGTAGGGGTAGGAGATGAGGTGTGATGGGGAGTTGGTGTGTGGATGGATGGATGGATGGATGGATTGAGAAACGGGTCTTTTGAGAGTGCTTGATGTGTTAGTTGATGTGTTGATGTGATGATTGACTTGTGGGGGTGGCGGGTTACGTGGGAGGAGATGTGGTTATTAGTCGTTGCTTTCGAAATAGGATAGTAAAATGTTATCTTTTGAATGAATCAAGGGTGCTGGGTGTTGGATACTGGGTGCTATCGGATTGGATGTTGAATTTGCAGATGAATATCGAAATGGAAATACAAAATGATTGTTAACTAATAGGTCATTTACTAAAAAATCATAACATAAGATCAAAGACAGTACTTTTGAATACCAAAATCCAGCTTGTTAAAAACATAATGAAATAGGTCATTCATTCATTAAGAAATCATAACATAAAACCAAAGACAGTGCTTTCGAAAACCAAGATCCCGTTTGTTGAAAACATAGTGAAATAGTCACAAGGAAAACCATGAGCTATTTCCTTTTTTCCATCGCCATGAATCCTAAGAAGTTGAAGTTGGGTTAGGTTCAGGAGTAACAATAGCAAACCCTGGGTTCAATGCCTCCAACAGGCCATAAAGCGTCCCCCAAATACTCTCATCTCCATCCGTAGTCATACCACTAAAGTCCGTCCTGCTATGAAGCACCAAATCAACAAGCTGTTGATGTGTAGCCCAGAATGTGAAATCCACACCCGTATTCGCGGTCTTCGCATATGCAATCTCATGATCCGTCATCACTGCATTACTGAAATTGACATGCCAGCCCGAATTATCACTACTTCCATCCGTCATTGGCACATCCGAGAGCATGATATCCATCTGGAAAGATTTCGTGTCAAAGGCACTTGGGCCGTTGACTCGAATGGCCATTGTATCCAATAATTGTTCGATGGAAAGTGCCATCATGGAGGCCGCATCCATTGAATTCATAGCCGGCTGAATTGTCCCCACGAGTTCTTTTGCACCACAGAGATAAAAATTTCGCCACGTCGCATTTTCCGCTCCATATCCCAACTTGGTGAAAACCTTGCTGAGTTCGGTTTTAGCATCGGTGTTTGTTTGATCACTGAAAACAGCGTGAGATAGGAGCGTGCCGGCGAAACGCCAATCAGGTTCATCGACATTGATATAATTGTCTTTAGCCATTTTGATCACGTTGTCAATGCCACCCATGCATGTGACATAACGTTGTGCGATGGGTACTGGCGGGTACTCCCATAAGTGAGCGGGATTGCCGTCGAACCATCCCATGTAGCGATGGTAGATTGCTTTGACATTGTGACTGACGGAGCCGTAATAGCCTTTTGTGTTCCAGATTTGTTCCAGGGAGGGAGGCATCTGAAAGTCTTCTGCGATTTCTATGCCCGTTTGGCCATCATTGAGGAGTCGAAGGGTTTCATTGTGGAGATATGCGTAGAGATCACGTTGCGCAGAGAGAAAATCAATGATCTCGTTGTTTCCATCGGTTTTGAAAGTTGGCCAGTGGTGACTCGCAAAGAGAACATCACTTTTGTCTGCGAAAAGAACGATTGCCTCATCCACTAAAGAGTTAATCAGCATCAGTGAAGGTCTACAATTTGATGACAAGAGATCATATTGAGAGCTCAACACATAGGTTGATGATACGGGATAGAGAGAGGAAGTGCGATATTCCGGAAGAAAGCATGCTTACAATATCGAGACCAAACTCGAGCATCGCGGACCAATGCACCTCTCAATGTCTGAAGATTGTGTAGAGTATGAGTTGCATTTTCCGCCATACAAAGAGCATTGTATTGCGGAAAATGAAAATTCATTTCCGAAGGAGCTTCAGTTCCAGGAGTTACCTGAAAAACGATCTCCAAGCCATCGACCGTATGGACTTCATTCGTTGTAGCAATGCTTACTGTGGGAGGAACCAACGAACTAACACCAGTTGATGTAGCCATGCCTAGGCCAGTGCCAACCTGTCCCTGAGGAGTTTTATCTAGCGATTCGCCGTACATGTATACAGCTCGGCGACCCATAGCGTTCCCAGCATAAACATTCTCACTCACAGCATGGTCCAGAAAATCGGCGGGTGCGTAAATGTGTCCTAGGGTGCCAGCATGTATGTCTTCCTGAGTGCCACCTGAGGCAACTGTCATCATTGAGAAATTAGCATAGTTGTAAGCATCCCCTCCACTCGAAATACGATCTCAATACATCACTTGAACTCAGAATTTGAAACAATGACTTCCACATTTCCAGCAAATATAATGACATTTGCCCATACAAGGCTTGCTCAATCGATGCTTGAAACTCGTCCATGATTCGGATATTCAAATCAAAGTCAAACTTGAGACAGTAGGGTTTGCTTGAAGGATTAACACATTGGACACAATGATCACTGTCACATCAAGCTTTCGAGTGTTCAATGAAAGAAGCATGGAGTAGCAAAACGATATAGCACACAAAGATCAAAGGAGCCGAACAGCATACCAACAACAGCACTTCCGCCACCGAAATGATCGGCATGAGAGTGTGTATAAATCATAGCCAGAATATTCTTATCTTTACGGTATCCTTGATATAGTCCAATAGCTTGTTTGGCAGTCTCGACCGAACACAAGGGGTCAATAACCACAACACCATTTGAATTGACAGTCTCGACGAAGGTCATATTGGAAATATCGAGGCCACGGACTTGATATATCTTGTCTTTAACAACCTCAAAAAGTCCCTGCTTAACGCAGAGCTGAGACTGTCTGAACAGGGATGGATTGACCTCAGGGGAACAGGTGGCATCGTCGTTGATGAACGATTCGTAAGATTGGTTATCCCAGACAACTACGGAGGCATCGTTATCGGAATGGACCACACAATTGTCCATCCAGCTGACGAGTCCGGCCGAAGCATTCTTGAAGTCCTGATCGTCGGTAGGATAGGTTGTCATAATGATGATAGAAATAAGTTTCGGTTAACTTTGAATTTGAAATGGTTTGCCGTAAACGAAAATAAGGATGAGCGAGGAGTTTTTGTAGAAGAATTTGTGGATTTGACCTTGAATCCGAAAAGAATAGATCTGGCACTTGCGCTCTACTTATCTTACTACAACATTTCATCTGTCTTCTGGTCAAAGTTCTCTCAAGATTGCAAAGGCTGAGCGGGGAAGCTCATTGAGTGGTTTCACGACAGAATGAAAATGAGGAGTTCTTTGCAAATATGCCTGCCATTAGTGCTGTGAATGTAGTGATACGAAGCATCTGTGCGGAATCGATCGTTTATTCCTGTTAGGAAGCACATTGCTGTTCAAACTAATATCTGATAGAATGAAAGACTGCAAAGGCTGAGCGGGGAAGCTTATTGTGTGGTTTCACAATATATTGAAAAAGAGGAGTTCTTTGCAAATGTGCCTGCCATTGGTGCTGTGAATGTGTACAGAATCGAGTACTTGTTCCTGTTACAGAAGCACATCGTAGAACTGATAGAATGATAGAAAATAAATGCATGATAAATCGTTGTTTAATGGTTGCTGATAAGTTTTTGATTTGATATATACTCGTACAGTACTCTACTCGAGTATTATATGAGTGGAATATTATGTAATACGCGCTAATCCTGACTGAGCTTAAGCCCTTACCCCTTTGGTCAAGGTGGATGTTTTGTATTGCTGACTCGGAGCGTTAAAAACTATAAGAAGACATAAAGACTGCAGGAAGACACGAAGAAAGACACAAAGGCACATTTACCTCTCACCTCCTTCGCAAATCTCAACTTTCCGTGGATTCTTATTATTCTTCTCATCTTTGTCAAATGGCCCTTGAAGTCCAGAAACCATCAGTGTGGCTATGCTCCATGCACCAACTTCCAAGACAGTTAAGACGGTGTATTCAAAAGGACGGGGTCCGGTATATATCCAACAGGGGCTTAAGTGAGTCGGCCAGCCAATAGCTTTGGATATATCCAAGACCTTATGAAAGTGGATTTGTGACCTATGGTCGAGCGACTAGAGCTGGTCATTTGATTCGTGAAAGTGAAAGCAAATTCCTCGTATGTTGTTTCATGGCGCAGTAGTTTAGCATTACGGGTTTGTTTACATACATTCTATTTGCGGATTGGTAGATTTGCTTCTGCCTATTCTGCTTATATATTATTGGGTATTACTTCTCTGAGATACTTTGTACTTTATACTTTCATCATTCATTCTTTCTGTTCCATCTCTACACTCATCTGTCCATAAAATCATTCTATCAACATCAAAACCAAACTCCATCAGCAATCATGGGTTCCCCAGACTACGCACCGCTCCCCCGAGAATCCTCAGATTCCGAGCGATACATCTACTCCACCCCTGACGAATACCGAACCTCTCTAGGAGATACCCTTCGTACCCCCAAAAGCCGTTCCATTACCATCAACTACGTACTTATCCTCCGGCTCATAAATCTTTCACTTGCCATCCCCTCTTTCATCATCTTCGTGCGAGATGGCTTTGAACAATACATCGCCGCCGATATCTTCCTCATGTTAATCATGATCTTCAACACCGTTCGAATACTGCATCTATTCGTCTCATCCGTTTTCCAAGTTACGGTGGAAGTGAGTCGTGGTGCGTGGCAGAGTAAGTTGTCCGTACAGCCAAATGGGGCTCGAGCTACCAATGTTATGGATTGCATCTTGGCCAGTGGGTTGGGATTTGCGATGATTGGGGGGCTGGTAAACTATTGGAGGAACTCTCAATTGGTGGCTGGGATTGTGCTTGCTTTTTTCACCATGTGAGTTCATTCATATTCTATGTACGAGTATGTATGAAGCCCTTTCTAATATGTTTTCACATAGGGCCATTCAATACATCATAGCTCTCCCGATCAAAAACCAAACTTTCATGCTCAAATTTCACTACTACAATAAGAGCGAAGGGAATGGAGAGAGCGGAGAGGGGCTTCAACCCCACAATGATGAGGTTATTCGAGCTATCCCTAGAGACGAACCATACAGACAAACCCCCGAGGATCTCGTGTGATTTCCATTCTTCGGCATCTAAGAATCTCACGGAACGATTTACTGGCATCCCCTACCCTGGTTTATGATATACGGCTTCGCATTTATATGCAATCTATTCGCTTCCATCTATAGTTTGATGGAGATTTGGTCTACCTAGTACATCAGCCAAGAACAGTTGCAAAATACACTTCTATCGAATCACTCCTTAGAAATAATGAGTAGTAGGGGACTGTATTTTAAATTACACACACGTATACATAAAATATCTACCTCATCAACTAAGAAAATTACATATGAAACCTACTTTCTCAGGTTTAGATCAATGGGAATATATTCATTTATTCATTCATTCATTCATTCGCATGTCAAAACCCTCCATAATACCTTACTCACTACTCACATATGATGAGCTTAGCTACCGGCACTCATCTTATTGAACCCACGATTATTCAAACTTCAATCACATGCCGAGCTACTTACTGTACATACATTGTCCCCGAATGCTCAATGAAGACAAATTATATCTTTCAATTCTTTCAATTCTTTTCAATGCTACAATATCCTCACTCATCCTTTTCTACACTTATCCTCATCCTTTCCTAAACCTATCTCGTCCCTTCATCTCCTCCTCTTCCTTCTTCTCCTCTTTCATCCCCTGTTTCATATCCCCATCTAATACCAATACACAATGATCCAATGTCACCCCATCTCATCTCATCCCATGTCACCCCATCTCCATCTCCATCTCCATCTCCATCGCCATCGCCATCTCCATCTTCATCTCATCTCATCTCATCTCATCTCATCTCATCTCATCTCATCTCTATCTCATCTCCATATCCATTCTCATCTCCATCCTCATACTCTAAACCCAATCATCCCACCCCATCCCATTCCATCTCCTTCCCATTAACCCCATCTCCATCTCCATCCCCTCCACCCTCCTCCACTCCCACTCCCACTCTCTCCTCTCTCTCTC